CAGAACCAGGCTCCTTCGTGCCAATCTGTTGCAGCCCTTAAAAGACACCGAAACTATCAACACTCGCCTCGATTGCCTGGTCCGTTTTAAGTATTCTCTTTGAAGTTCCTGTTATATTAACAAATTGTTATTTCATTCCATTCGTCCTTCCCCTGTCAGAATCAACTTTTCTAAATATATTTGTAAGTATTACATGCATCATCAATGTTACACCAATTAAGAATCTAAAAGCTATCAACACTCTGAGTGTCTTCGAGACTCATTTTGTTTTTCTCCAAGTTCTGAGGTCTTTAGCAAGTCTGACAGCGACAAGCCCCAGAATCAACTCAAGTTAAAAATGTGGGCAAAATGATTATGTTGAACTGTTATTGAAACATAAGATTTTTAGATGCATGCATTAGCTTAGTTCACCAAGGATAGGCTTCAGCATTGGGTTTGCTGAAATTATGATAGTTTTAATGCTGTCAAAGAGGATATTTCTGGAAGTTAATTGTTTTTGCTTTTGTTTTCACCATCTGCTGTACAAGTATAATCTCCCTAACAACACTTAGGAGAGAGTGTGCTGAAGAAATTCTGAGCTGCCAAAGCTTTCAGCCAATTAGTAAGCGATGTATGGGTGCCATCATGGGTCTAAGGTGTCCAAAAGAATTGTTGTGATTCACTTGTCCGTACTTTATGTTCATCTTATCATCCCTTACATTGATAATTGCAAATATTCTTCTTGAATTGATCAACTCTACTGAAGTGATGTGATCATGCATATCTTACCATTTGGTTTCAGGATGAGCTGATGAAGAACGAACAGCTATTCTTCGGACTCACTCAGGTTCTCCGGAAATTTCCAAAAGAGACTGGTGAGTAAAACTAGAATATACAGCAGTACAGCACCATATAGATATATAGTAAACAATATGCATTCATCTTGATTTTTCTCTACTCTTCTTTCTCGTTCAATGCTGGTCCATCTCCCATGCTAGTGACTACCACTTTTTCCTCTTCTTTTTTCAGATAGAGTACTCTGTAACTTCTGCTTCAAGCCCAAGAAAGTAACAAATGAGGTTATGGGTGTTGACAATTTCAAGAAAAGCCAAGTGTTGATATCAAACATTATTGTGCTTAAAACAACTTTGGATGCATTACCTCTGCTTGGGAAGGTGAATTTTGGTTTGCATCACGTACACAAATAGTATGTGTGTCCCAAACTTGTCTGAAAATCTTTTACTTCTGAATAATTCAGGTTTTGAAGGATGCAAGTTGTTTTCTTCTGTCAAATGTTTTTAGAACTGTGTGTGAGAATGAGGATTACTCTACCATCAGAAACAGGTAACTGCAACCACCGTGCTTCACATTATAGTGTTTTCTTAATCAAGTCTAAAGCTTTCAAAATATGATGGAGTGATTCACTCACAGAATTTGCGAGGTGTTCGATGAAGATGTTCTTCATGCACGTGTCCCTTTTGTGGCCCGAACACAGCAATGCTTTGCAGTCAAAGCTGGGATTGATGGACTTCTAGATATTGCAAGGAGAACATTCTGTGATACAAGCGAAGGTTTTCTAGTTTTCCTTTCTCCTCATTCCCTTGTCAGTCGTTCGCTACATAATTGTGTTTGCATCTTTCTATTTCTTTTGTTCTTTTTCATGATCTGTCATCCAATCTACCTACATGGATATTACAGCTATACACAACCTCGCGAACAAGTATCGTGGAGAATTTGGACTACCAAATTTGAAACTTTCATTTAATAACAAGCAAGGGTTTTACTTCAGCATTCCACAAAAGGATGCTCAGGGAAAGCTTACTAGCAAATTCATACAGGTTCCTTGCATAAAAAAATGTCTAAAGCTGTTTATCTTGTGAAGCTTCCTCTTAGCTGTGACTCTAACGTTCTTGTGAACTATTCAGGTCGTAAAACATGGAAACCATCTACACTGCACAAGCCTAGAACTTGCTTCTGTAAGTGTCTCTTTAGTAGCAATTCCATAGCAATGTAGTGGTTTCACTATGATTGATTGCTGAATTATTTATTTTATGGAATTTGACATTTTATGGTCATTTTATGAGGAACAAATCAAGTAGAGGTTTTCAGAATCTGTAATTATCAATAGACAAAAATGTGGCTAGTGCCTTGCCTTACTGGCTGCCTAATGTTCTCACATGAAAGTTGGTACCTGAATAGAGAGTGTAAATCAGGATGGAACTTACTGTTATTCGAAGAATATTATATGGTCATATGTATATATACCCTCCATTGCATGGGGCATGTGATCTGGTTATTGCTTCATGCACAAGGTATTAATTCAACTCGCCCAGTAAGCAATGCTCTTAATGTGTCTTCCGCTGTTAATTTTAGATAGCGATACATCATGCAATTTGAAAAAAGTTTTTCTACCATTTTGGACCAGATTAGTCGACATCTAACAAGCTGGTTCTCATATATTGTTGTTTTAAGATCCTACCAACAACCATAAAGCAAAATGTAGTGATTTGTCTACATTTATTCTTTGTTGTCTAGCTGAGTGAAGATGCCCACATCTTTATGTATTACTTTTTACATTAATCGAGCTAGATGGAGTCTGAATAATGTTTCATTTATCGTGCTTTCTTCAATGATACGTGCAGCTTAATGTGAGAAATAAGTCTGCAGCTGGAGAATGCTACATAAGAACAGAACTTTGCCTTGAAGGTTGTAATGCACAGTAGCAGGCTTCTTCAATTTCTTTTAGTTTAAGCCGTTTCATTTTCCATATAGATGAAGGATATATTTCATCTCTGCTCTTTCAAGATTCTCTTGTTGATTGGTTCAGAACTTATGAAGCTTTTTATATGGCATAACACATCCAGCCCTCGTAGATGCCATCAGGGAGGATGTCACTACACTCACGCTTCTGGCTGAGGCCCTGTGCCTCTTAGATATGATGGTTAATTCATTTGCACAAACTATCTCATCAAAGCCTCTCGACCGATATACTAGACCTCAATTTACTGGTAAACCACAATGGAAGTTCGAATCTTGGATCTTGCAACTTTGACTGCAGAACCTCCATGCCTGATTATCTGGATTTCATTTGCAGATGATGGCCCATTGGCAATTGATTCTGGAAGACACCCAATTCTCGAGACTATACACCATGAGTTTGTTGTTAGTAACCTCCTGCATTTCATTGCTGTTCAGTCTATTATTTTGCGTAGTTTTTGGTTTTGTATCCAAAACTGTGCATCATTCAGTACTATAATTCATCAGTGATTTTACTTTTGTTCTTCAGTCCAACGGTATCTTTATCTCGGAGGCATCAAACATGTTAATTGTCATGGGACCAAACATGTAAGAATACTCTAGCTTTAACTCTCTGGGTTTACATTCCCTGTCATGTTGTTTAATCATCTCATGTTGATTTCCTTCTCGTGTCCATTTTCTTGTTGCTGATGGCCTCAGAGAAGTATTTCGGACCGACTTCATATGCTCTAACTTGCATTTACTAGTGGTTTGCTTCTCCTTGAAGCAATTGATACTTCTGCTTTCTGGGTTACCTTTTTGAATGGAGTAGTTTGATCTTCTGATCATTAACAGGAGTGGAAAGAGCACATATCTCCAACAAGTATGCCTTACAGTCATTCTTGCTCAAATTGGTTGCTATGTTCCTGCTTGCTTCGCAACTATTCGCATAGTTGATCGCATATTCACAAGGATGGGTTCAACGGATAGCCTAGAATCAAACTCCAGTACGGTAAACCTCACAACACCTAATGTTACCAACACAGTAAATGCAAGATTGTCTTCATGGTGGTAAATGATTTCTTTTCCCCCACTGCTGCTTGCAGAAAACTAATGATTTTATTTTGCTTTGATGCTGCAACAGTTCATGACAGAGATGAAGGAGACAGCTTTCATCATGCAAAACGTTACCCCAAGGTGAAGGACACAGCAGTCTCCGTATTTTTGGCCAATAAATTATGAAGCAGCAAATTAGACCATAAATAATAACATGTTTCTATTCTTGTTTCATCAAAATCTGTTGCTTTTGTAGAAGTCTGATTGTTATGGATGAACTAGGAAGAGCTACTTCCTCCGCTGATGGATTTTCCATTGCTTGGAGCTGCTGCGAAAAACTCTTATCAATTAAAGCGTAAGTGCTTCTCACTCATAGACTTGCCTAATACCACACGAGTCTATCGGTAACAGAGAAAAATGCTCTTATGATAGAGATCCGACATTTGTCTGAACTTTGTAGTTTGCTGTAATCATCATTATACCCACAGAAGCTTCGTTGAATGACTCTTCAGGTATACAATCTTTGCAACCCACATGGAGAACCTATCCGAGCTGGCAACTCTCTATCCGAACGTGAGGATTCTTCATTTCGACGTTGATGTCCTTAACAACCGTCTGGATTTCAAGGTATATCTACATACTCATCTTTATTTGTACCACCATCAGCTCTAGGTTCGTCTCCAAATTCTGGTAATAATAATTTCTGGTGGTGCCAGTTCAAACTCAAGGATGGACCAAGACATATTCCGCACTACGGCCTTTTGTTAGCAGAAGTAGCAGGATTACCGAGGTCGGTGATCGATACAGCACAATGCATTACATCAAAGATCACACAAACGGTTGCTTTCTTTCCTCACCTCAGTTTTAGAATCCCATGTCGATTTCCGACACTTACGTGATAACACATCTATAGCTTGATTTGTTCAGGAAAGGAAGAGAATGGAAGTGAACTGCGAGAAGCATCATCAACTGCAGATGATTTGTCGGGCTGCCCAACGGCTATTGTGCTTGAAATATTCCAGCCAACCTGAAGATGCAATCAGGCAAGCACTTCATAATCTCAAGGAGAGCTATCTAGATGGAACTGTCTGAAACCTTCAACTATTACCACAGTACTGGCAACCTTTCACATACCAACTATCAATTGTATTTTTACCATATTTAGGTAGAACCTACCAACAGGCTATATAATTGTATAAACCTTTTTGTAGCGCAAATATGGCACAGCTTATGTTCTAAATCAGTTATTGACCATATGCTTAAGAATGGGTCGGTAACGACAGCTGTCAAAACCACAATCTTATGATTCGGAAACTAAAACACTGATGAACATTACCTTCAAAATCAGATAAGCAAATGAGTACAGCAATAACAATAAGCAAAAATCACCCACAGATACAGAGGAGAGAAATGCTTGATTTCAACAGAAATATTCATTCACGGGTGTGTCCAAATGTAACATACTAACGATATCCCAGATCCAAAATTTTCAGTAATGAAGACAAGCAATATGTTCCCCATACAAAATCTGACAAGCCAGAAACACAAAGAAGACGAGAAATTCCAACTAAGCTCAACGGTATCGGCGGAGGGACAGGGTGTTGTTCCTCTTCCAAGTAGCCCTGCGAGACGGCTTGTTCTTGTGGTACAAGTGTCCCTTTCCACGGAGTCCTCTGTACTTCTTTCCAGCAGAGGTGAGACCGCGCAGCTCCCTGTGCTTGTGGACAGGGTTGCAGAGCCAGTTGATTCTGGGGTCGTTGCGGATGGCATTGTGAGCCACATCGACAAGGATCACCTCAAAGTACTTGTAGGTGGAATCCTGAATATTACAGGGCAGTAAATCATATTTCATCAGTAATTGTTAAACCGAAGTCCTGAGAATAATTGAAGGTTGTATATGCATGTATCGTACCTCGTTGACCCAGTAGGAGTTGAGGACCCTAAGACCGCCAAGTTTCCTTCCAGCACGCTCTTCAGCAACAGACCTCTTGCTTCTCTGGAACTTGAGTTGGGTAACACCCTGGTTGGTGGGCTTGCCATACACAATACCCTTGGGGACAGGCCTCTTCCTGCCTCCACGTCTGACACGGACACGGTAAACAACATACCCCTGCATCATTCATCAAACATCAATGATAAGACACCAATGCACACAAAACAACAAAAGGATTCAGAAAGACAAGGCACAAGGCAATGCAAATAAACTCAGACAAGTCCTCTGGCAAGTTTTATCACCTACATTGTCAATTCGAACAAAGCTAAGCACATGAAAGTAAGAAAGCATTCGAGAAAGCAACTACAATGCATCTTACGCCTACGGAACAGAATACAGCAGCAGAGACTGTATCGAATCGAAACAAAAGTGAGTTCAGTAAAAAATGACAACCCACTAGGTCAGATGATCGACTGTGTGGTTTTCTTTCGCAGGCCTCAGGAAGCACCTGATCATTTCAGGTAACCATCCTCTAAGAGTGGTCATCATGCATCAAGATGCTACTAAACCAGCACAACGAATACCCATCGCACCAATCCAAAACAAGGGATTATCTAAAGCTAACAGTGCAAACTCCAGCAGATTAGGTTCGCGTTTCTAGAACTATTCACTATCTAGCTCAGTTATCACTAAAGAAAGGCTGAGAGTCGAACCGAATCCAAAGAACAGGGAATCAAATATTGACCTGCTTGGCCTTGTATCCCAGGCGTCTAGCCTTGTCGGGACGGGTAGGGTGGTTGACCCGAACGATCGACGGGTGCTGGCGGTACTCCCAGCACCTCACCCTCTGCAGAAACCGCATAACATCGGACTGCTTCTTCCTCCATAGCTCCGAGACATACTTGTACGCACCTGTTTACACATTACACGATTCAGAATCCCATTCCCACACAGTTAGCCAATAGTATCCAGCGTGAGGCTTCACGAATCGCTTCAACAGAATCAAAGCGAACGAGGATTGGAGAGAGTGAGAGAATACCCATTGTATCGCAGCAGAACGCAGCCTCTTCCTTCTAGGGTTTCCGCTCACTTAAAATGGAGGAGCTCGAACCTGTAACGCAAAACCCTAATAGCCATTTTATAGACCGGCGCCGTAAAATCTAGATCGTCCATCTTGACCGCGTTTTGGCCTGTCAAAAAGGCTTAGCGAGCCGCCAGCTTTTCGTTTGGGCTGACCATCGGGCCATTGGCTATTGAGTAGTTGGGCTAGAGAGTACAATTGGGATGGGCTCATATTGTTTGCCCACTTTTTATTTGCGGCCCAAAATAATAACCTCGTGTGGTTGAAATGAACCAATATCCGTGCGGATTGGCGGCGGCGGAGCAGTGAAATTTCCCTCAGCCGTGAACAATTCAATTCTACACATTCAACACCTTGCAGCTTCCTCCTCCCTCGGTCGCACCCAGAGAAAGCAGCCATGGCGGTTTCTTACTCTTCCTCACTGTCGAGCTTCGCCGCCGCCGCCGCATTTGCTGAAACGAAGGCTTCCATCGCTCCGGCCTCTTCACAAGCAGTCAGATTTGCCTCCATTTCTTCGGCGCGCCCGTTCATCGCCCCTCTGACATCCAACTCTACCGTCCACCGCAACCGACGCGCATCCTTCGTAGCCCCACGCGCCGCCGCCGAATCTCACTCCTCACCTACCTCCTTCCATGGCCTCTGCTACGTCGTCGGCGACAACATCGACACCGACCAGATCATCCCCGCCGAGTACCTAACCCTCGTCCCTTCCAACCCCGCCGAATACGAGAAGCTCGGCTCCTACGCCCTAATCGGCCTCCCGGCTTCCTACGAGAAGAGATTCATCGAGCCAAACGAGACGAAGACGAAGTACTCCATCGTGATTGGTGGAGAGAACTTCGGGTGCGGCTCGTCTCGCGAGCACGCTCCGGTTGCTCTGGGGGCTGCGGGAGTGGCGGCGGTGGTGGCGCAGTCGTACGCGAGGATCTTTTTCAGGAACTCGGTGGCGACGGGGGAGGTGTATCCGCTGGAGAGCGAGGTTAGGGTTTGCGAAGAGTGCAGGACTGGGGATGTGATAACGATTGAGCTGGGCGAGAGCCGATTGATCAATCACACGACCGGGAAGGAATACAAGCTGCAGCCGATTGGGGACGCCGGTCCGGTGATTGAGGCCGGCGGGATTTTCGCGTATGCCAGGAAGACTGGGATGATTCCACAATCAGCTTAAAATCAATCTTCAGGTTTTTCTTTCAACTCTTTTGAGATGCCAGCTGAAGTTCAGCTCATTCTAGTTTTTCATAGTTGCAGCTATTCTTTAATCCCTGTCCTGTACCTTTCTGTTTGAGTATTGGACTGACTGAGTTCCCAATTAACATGGGTTGTAAGACACCTGAGTATGGAATTCGGTGTTAGAAATCTGTTAATGCAAGAAAGTCTTCAGCTTTTTTTCGAAAGACCTCGCTAACTGAGACTCTGAGAGCCTGTCTATTATTTGTTTTGTAGTAGTACTAACTCAACAACTGCTGTAAGACGGGACATAGGAGATTGCAGATTAAGACTGGCTAGCATGCTTGATTACGGTGATTAGCTGAAGATGGATGTGGAAGTCACTTTTGAGTATATATTAGCATTTAGTAAGTGTAACTGATAAGGAGTAAGTCGGTTGCATCGGAACCGAATACTTCATTAACTGATAGGTAGGCTATGTATAAGACTGTGCTGCTGTAGAACATATTTGTTGCATGTGTGAAAGGTTGGATAGGCGACTCCATTAACAGAAGTGAGCATAAGATTCTTACAGGTAGCACTCTTGTTTCTACAGAATGCTATGTCTAGTTTTGGTAATAACTACTAGTTCGTACTTTTTTCAGTGGTGACTTGTATTCTGTAGCTATCCCGTCATTCTTGTCCATTGAATGCCAGTTCTATCACTACCTTTCATAGGTCATACTTGTCAGTTGTAGTGGTTCCGAGTGAAGTAAAGATTAATAGTCAGAGTCTATTTAAGCCTGGACCAGAAGTTAATCTCATTGGCCTGTTGATTAACAGAAGTTGGCTACCTGAATTAGAAATCGTTTTACTCAATCCCCAGTTAGTGTCTGGGAACTATTATGGAAAACAAAATTGTAGAACCATTGGGGTCAAGTGGGATGAGTCTATGAAGATTATGCTGTGTCAATGTGAAGGACGTCAAGTTATAATACTTAGTATATTGCAGGACAGCTTCTTAGTTTCATTATAAACAATTTTTGTTATTTGAGTGTTAGTAATTGCTTGCCGTTTTCCACATCAATCCATGATGGTTGTGTTCTTAAGTTATCATCTCTATCTCCTCATTTTGACAGGCGTTTGCAGACTGCGTTTAGATGCACATTTCAGGATTTGGTTATTTTCCCAGATTTCACTGTTTCCTCTTGTTGGTCAATAGAAGAACACTTGCCATTCTGCCTTTCCAAAAATTTTGCCTCAACCTCTGTTTATCGGCCATGGCTGAACCGCAGGTGAAGAAGGACTGGATGGTGGAAGGGCGTTGGTGTTCCAGTAGCTAGTTTGTTTGAATGATGTCCAAGAGGTCCGTTCCGTTCCATATGTTGCTGCAATTTGTTCTGTTCCGTCATCTAAGAAGGACGACTTAAAATGTTGTAGGGTTGGTGATTTTTTTCCCCATCGTGTTGCTCGCTTGTATCAGTTTTGCGCACGTACTTCGGCTACATCTTGTTGTTATGCAGAACAATTATCTCGTGTGTATCTGCATGCTATTACTTGTGTGACTTTCTTCCATCAAATCCAAACCTTAAACATAAACTGATGAAGCAATCGACTAATCACACTTTTAATTTGGCCATTTTAGATTAAGAGAGCAAAATCACTAATCATGTATAGCTATGGACCAAGGCTATTACGAATGTGGATTTCACTTTTATGGCACCATGCAAATTATTTCATCATTTCATCAACCAATTGTACATTTTTAACTTACGATTATTACCACTACGATACAGCAAATTATTTGTAATTTGATTTTCAATCTCCTTTATTTTTTTGGTAAATTTTCAATCTCCAATAGACACTAGATAGTGGTTCAAAAGTTCTCTTTGTTTGCTGCTTTAGAATTGAATGGTCAGTTTTTATGAATATATCCAAAAACCTTCCTATTTTTCATATAAGAGTGCGATGCGAATCCTTCAGGTGATCCAAACTCACCAATCAAGTTTTTTCACTAGTGGGTTTACTCAAACCGAGGGGTTACAAAACTCGTTTAACCACCCTTAATGACTATCGAGTTAAATAACACATTCATTTTGCTCGAGCGATGCCAAGAAATAAGGCCATATAAGAAACAAAAGGATTTCTTATTACAAAGAGGAACAACCACATAAATAACGCACAATTCCTTTGCGCTCGTCAAAACGAAAAGGGAAAGACGCCAGGCAACAAGGGTGGCTTCTGCTCTTTTTTTCTTATCTTTAATCAGTTAATGGGAAAATTCCACATTCCAAAACCACAAAGGACTGGGGGAAAATCTCTCAATTCTCCTCATCATGTACAAAATACAGGAGCAGAAACCCATGCCGGCGAAAGGAGAACACAATCGATCGCGCTTTGCAGCAATTCTTCTCCATTCATTTTCCCCTATGCTTCCTGTCCCTCGAGCTTCTGGAGGAATGCTTCACATCCTCTTCCCACTCCTGCTGCGGGGGAGGGGACGGCTCATACCTCGACGGCTTCCTCTTGAAATGCCTCTCATCATCATCGCTCGATTCATAATCCGCCGCCACAGCACTGCTGCTCTTTCTGCCTCCACCACCTATGGAAGCCGATGCAGACGATTTCCTGTCGTAGTAGCCGTTGCCCGATGCAGAGGACTTCCCACCAGCAGCTGAAGAAGCTGCTGCTTCAGGAGCGGCGGACGAGGAAGACGACCCCTTCCGCTTCTTGCTAGCCGCTGCTTCTCCCTCCGGAAAGCTGATCCGCGAGAACACACTGGCCTTCCGCTTCCGTTCATCTGCCGCAGCAGCTGCAGCTGCAGCCGCTGCGGAGTCAGAAGCCGTCTTAGTTGAGGATTCCGAGCGCTTGCGGTGATGGTGGTGGTGATCTCGATCGCGATCAGAATGATCGTGATCTCTTTCGCGGTCTCGGTGCTCGTGGTGGTTGTGATGGTCGTAGTCTCGATCCTTATCCTTGTCGCGGCTGCTGCCATGATCGTTGTGGTCCGACTTTCTCTTGGACGAGCGCTGCGGAGGAAGCGGTGGTGGCGGCCCGTCGAGCTCCCTGGCGGCGGAGCGGTCAGGGGATGGCCTTCCCGGTCGGTGACGGTGGTGGTGAGAATCGCCGTTCACTTGCGGAGCGACATTCCGCTTTACCACACCAAAAATCACAACAGAAGAACAAATGCGTTAGAGCGATTAATAAAAGCCAGCACAATACAATCAGCCCAGCTAAGGCCCAGAAATTGTTTAAAGTAAAAAAGGTCCAAAGAATACCAGGCCCAGGGTGCCCGTCCATAGTTACAAGTTGACTATGTGAGAAACCGGTTTGGGCCAAAAGTTTTGAGGGAGAAAATCGAATAAAATTACCACATTCTGTTTAAAGAAACGTTTTCCTTTTTTACGAATAACAGAAATTCCAAATAATTCATAAAAAATACATATTTGATTTCTATTATAGTACACAACAAAAGTACATACAGATTTCATGGGCGGACCACCATCGTTAGGTCCACTGCTGCTCACTTCTCTTCCAAATTCCCGCTCTCTCTGAAACTCCCTGTGGCTGCACCCATCAACATACAACATTCACACAGGTTACATTTCCCAGAACTTCAACCCAAGCACACACCCAGCAAGTCCACAATTAGCATGCTATCAAGAGCTTTTTCCAAATTCGAACCGAGCTCCGATTCCAAACCATTGGCAGACTAATCTTCGACCTCTCGGATGGGACCAAACACATGAGATGTATCAAAACAAGAAATAAAAGATCATCGATCATTTGCTGGACTGATTCTTGTCAACTAAATTGCCAATCCCATCGAGCATCAAGATCCTACGATACCCATGACAACTTCTCCTTTTTCCCGATTGCAGTAGAGAAAAAGGGGGAGACCACAAACATACCTTTCAGCAGCTCGCCTCTCCATTTCACGCCGCCTCCTCATCTCAGCTTTCCGGGCCTCAAATTCTTCTCTGCTCATAGCTGGTGGACCATGATTCATCCCCATCCCCATGCCCATGCCCATTCCCATTCCCATTCCCATTCCCATCCCCAAATCAGCAAGATCCCTGTCAATGAAGAAACGGAATTCATCGGCTTAATATACCCTAGTCAATGAGAATTTGAGGGGAAAAGGAAAGAAGTCTGAATGTTACATACCTCTGAGGTGGTATCATTGGCATCATATTGTTCATAAACCCTTGTGGAGCAAAAGGATCCGGTGGCATCATACCTCCAAATGGAGGCATGTCCAATGGGCCGAGGCCATAACCCATAAATGGCATTGGAGCGCCACCATTGTACGGATTCATATATGGATCCATCCCCGGTGGTTGCATCCCACCCATCATGTAAGGATTGAATGCAGCAGGGGGCATAGGCATCATGAAATTCTCGGGTCCGAGATCTTGACCACCCTTCCACATATCTGCTATAAGCATTTGAAGCAGGTCATCAAGCTATACGAAAGCTGAAACAAACAGACGTGGAGTCTGCCATACAAAAAGAGCCGAAAAGGAAACAAAACTGACAGACAGACGAGCTTCATAAGGCAATTACCATTTGGAGGCATGCGGACTTTCTTCTTTTTCTTTTTCTTTGCTGCAAAAAAGTAAATTCGAACATTACACCTCTTACGCTTCCAGCATCATAAACTAATAGTAAGGCAGACCACGACAGTAAATTGATAAATAAAAAACAAGTTACCTGCATCGCCAGAAGCAAGCTTTTGCTGCACTTCTTCCTCCATGAGGGGAGCGCTACTTTGTGATGCTGCTGCCTCCTTCACGCTCATTGACTCATGTGTGGCATCTGACGCATCAACCACCTTAGAAGTTCTTGACTTCTCGACTGCTGGTGGGGGGACAGGTCCAGGAACAGGCTTCTCCTCAATGGGCGCTGGCTTTATATTTTGCATAGCGGCTGGTTCAGCAGACGGATGAGGCAATCTTGGCTCTTCTTTTGATGCAGCAGACTGTGTAGGAGAAGGAAACTTGGGCTGTGGACAACGAGCTGACTCCATATCTGTCCTTAAAAAAAGGGTCGAGTTACAGAAAGAATAAATGTCCACAGACAGTACCGCTCAGGTTCATAAAATGTTAAAAATCAAACCTTGAACTTGGAAAGTGCTTCCAGCATTATCTGCGCTACTGTTCCCTGACTCTAAGATACGATTAATGGTATCCCTAAGAGTCTTGTTTGGAAGAAGATCATCTGCAAGAATACTTGTTGCCCCACATACACACTTTGATTTCGAGATAATGTAATCCCTAATACCTGTGTCAGAAAACAGTAAAAAAGGCATACATAATTAGACATGTGAAAGATGTCATGTAGCCTATAGGAGGAGACACGGAAATTATCAAAGCTGATGGTTAAGGACCCAGGGTCAAGCAAATAGTATGTCCATTGCAGCATTGATCACAATCCACATGAGGCTATGATTACTACTGTAACTAAGTAGTCTAACTTCGGCAGACAACACAGTGAAGATTAAAGAGGAAGAATAAAGCACAGAAGATCGATCAAACTTACATTTGTCACAGAAGCTTTTGAAACAACACCTGCTTGTCAGCACAGCATCTTTCATAACTTCTTTGCACAAAGGACAGTGAAGTTCAGGCGGAAGTTCGCCAACAGGTCTCGTGGAAGGCAACCCTTCGATTTCTCTCTCGAATGCAGCCCTGAAACAAGTTTTGGATACAGAATGAATCTTCAAACTAAAGACAGGTTGAGAAAAAGGCCTAGCTAGGTGTGCGATTTCAGAAGCTACCCAAAAACAAAGAAAATAAATTAAAGGGTCTCAGCTTACTCATTTGGTCTTAAAACAGCAACAGCACCACTAGGCAATGCATATGAGCCATCTGGTGTTGCCATTAGCATCGACTTTGGGATTCCTGTTGGAGGCTTTACTCTCTTGATATCATAATTTGGATCACCATTGGTGGGGCAGTGCTGAATAAAATGTCCTGGAATAAAGAAACAAGGATTTAATTTAAGAACACACATATCGTTAAAGTAATAAAAAAAGGAGAAATACTATCAACTAAACGTCTACATACCTGGTACCTTACACCTGTGACACACATAACCCTGCGGAGGATTTTTCCTCTCCATACCTAACCAAAGTCAACAACAAAAAGAAGTTATACGCCACAAGAAGAGCTATCACAATTAAACAAACAAGTTTCTGCAACTTAAATTATGGGAGATTTCTAGTATCCTACAACTGTAAATAATATACAGAATGACTCACCGAATCCACGTCCTCCCATTCTACCACCCATCCCCCGGCCAAACCCTCTACCGTGGCCAAAGCCATCATTACCTTGACTGAAAATTCAAGTGTATAAAATATAAGTTCTCAGTGACAGAATTACAATGGGCAGTGACAAACAAACAATCCATCAACCTAATTTTACCAAATGAAAGGCGGCTTACCGCTGCCAATCCAAAGCTGGAGTATCAATTAAAGCTTTAATCTTGCATTCCTCTTCAGCCTGGCTGGCAGGAGGAGCTTCAGGAGGTGCAATGCTTGATTGTACTGGTACGACTTCCGGGATTGCATATAAGTCATTACCAAACTCATCCCACTCGGTCTCATCAGTCTACATAAGTTGGAATACACAGAAACAGATAAGTGTTCTGCTGGCTGCTGTACTTGTGAAGCATCTGTAACAAGTTGGTGTAGACACTTACATATTGAAAAGTAGATGAATCACCACCTACAAAGCCACTTTTCTCCTGCGGGGTATCATTTGCCTTAGTTTCCACCTTTGGCCTGCAAATATAATGGCCAAACTCATACATGTCCTCAAGATCTGTTTAAGTGGCTACATAAGGAAGAGGCCTGTCACGTAACGTGGCATCATCCTAGTGGACACTATCAGAAGGAGTTGTTCAATAGAACTGTTACAGTGACCATCGTCACTTCGATTAACAGTACAAAGGTTAAACAACACAGACTGTAGTCACAAGGATGATCACAGTTACGAGAAGCCCAACCAATATCCAAAATGTGGGGATACAAAACAGTATACATTATACAATACATTAAGGTTTGAGATAGTACTCTTGCTCAGTAACAATGGGCATGCGAGGGCGACCAGGAACTCGGCGAATTAACACAGCAGTACTTTTTGGAATTAATGATGCTTCATCAAGATACTCTGAAAGTAAAACAGAGAAGAACACAACCATAAAATACCAAACCTAATTAGTGATGAAACCAAATTTATAATTCACCTAGACGACTGCTTGTCATCAACCATCCATCCTAGCCATGACAAGCCAAGAATAATCAGATAAAGCCAGTTTTATCCTAGGTCGAAAGATCATTTCACGATGCATAGTGCACAGCTCCTCTAATGAGAAATTTCTCACCAGATGCACTAAACAAAAACTAAGCATGGATCACAATGTCACCTCCTTATCTAAGAAAAACCGAAGGGAAAGCGGACAACTATATAAGTAATGCATGTGCTTCAACTATTTAAAGCACTTAATCCAAGGCTATCAGAATGACTTGGTGTCTGACTCCTGGGTTCAAAAGGACGCAACGAGAACTAACACAAACATCAAGAAGCCACCTGAAATCTATCTATATCTGGAATCCAGTTTCATTTACAACTTAAACGGCAAAGAACGAAACCAACCTTCATTAGTTTGGGCATTAGTCACCACCAGATCGAAGTCTGTACCCCTGCCCAGGTGCTTTGATTCAAATATTTTTTCTTTCAAAGTACCAACAGATATAAAGGGCCCATCCATTGAGATTGAATCATAATCTTTTGCACTCTTAAACTTGTAATACACTGCCATTTCTCCTTTTTATAAGATTAGATATATAACCAAAATCAAACCAAATAGAAAGAAATTAAAGGCCTCCTAAAAACAGGACCTTTGTATTCAGCTCAACTCAACTCAATGACCATAAAATAGAAACATGGATACACAAAAGTTGAACCCTTTTTTCCCTTCTAGATTCTTCCAAGTGCTCAATCAAAAGGTATTCAAACCAAACCAACTAATCAGGAGCTTTCCGACGATACTCTGTCCAGCATGCATCCGCAAGAACCATACAAAGAAGCCACTGCCATCTCCATCCAAACTGTTGCCAAATTCGCCTCCGGAATCACAACGCTGTTTAACAGAAAACTGTGACCCCACCAAATTGGCGATCCAACCACTGGGTGCAGGATTTAACAGCCAGACGATATCTTCAACCCCGACTCCGAACTGTGTGTATCCCGAACAAGGGAGCTCAGCAGTATGCAGCGACAAAGATTAAACTAACCCCAGTCAATCCACGAACACAATACAACCGAAGCCGAGATCAGGTCCTCTGATCCGGAACGCCACGAGTTCTTCCACGAAGCAGAGTCAACCGCGACACAAGGAGCCCCGTCAATCTTCCATCGATTGAAGCGAAATCTCGAAAAGAGGGAGATTCCCGGCTCCTGGAAGTCTTGCCGACCTAGGAAGGATGCTCCCCCTTAGGGCTTATCAGGCAGCGAAGAAGAGAAACCGAGAGTGTGGCATAGCCAGAAGGCTAGGGTTAGGGTTCCGCGCAGGATTCCCCAGTGGAGAGGGAGAGCTCGTTGGAGCCGGATTTGGGGATAATCCGAGAGAGAGAGAGAGAGAATGAGAGATTGGGGATGTTTTACTCGAGAAGACAGAGAGAGAAGCAGCGGTTTTTCGCTTATCAATCGACCCAAAGTCCCAAACTGACTGACAGTTCGGATTCGGAACCTTTTAATTTACGGTCTTTTCTTATTTGTGATGATGGGATAACCGCAGCTCTGGTCTAGATAATGGGCCTTAGTTAACCCGATTGGGTTGGGCCAACGATGTTGTTTGGGCTTGTTTGACCCATTATTTCCTTTTTCATAGATATTCCAAAAATGAAAAATATGTTAAAACTAAAGAGTTTAAATATACAAAGTCATATGACTATTCCACTTAGATCTGGCAAATTACAACCCGACTCGTTGACCCAAACCGAAACCGCTCGAAAACTAGAAATTTTTGTAACCCGAAATTCGAATGACCCGAACCCGATAACACGTGATTTTTTGGGTCGGGTTGGGTGGGTTAGCGGGTCTAGCCGTTAGACCCGTTCCATTTTATATATCACTCCCAAAATAATAAAATCACTCATAAATTGGTGAGATGTTTAAAAAATATCACAAGGATTTGAATGACATGTTTAGAGTTTAAGGATAATAAAATATCATGTGTTTCTTGCAGTAGTATTACTCTTGCGATTGTTTTTGATGATTTGCGCAATTTGTATTTTATTTCATTAGCATGGGAGGATTTGAGAATATGTTAATTGACATGTGTTAGGTAAACTATTGTCATGCATATGTGGAAATTTGTGTTCTTTAAGAAAATATGAAGCATGTTTGATATTATTTCTAAGAACGCTCATAACCCCAAACGACCTGTAACCCGACCCAAAACCAAATGGGTTGGGTCAATATTTGACCCGAAATCAGACAAGCAAACATGCCCCGACCCGTAACCGAAATCTCTAACTCGAAATTACCCAACCCGACCCGATTGCCAGGTCTAATTCCACTATTTGTAACTAGCCCACTAATTCTCTCATAAGTATTTTTCTTGATGTTTGATATTTGAATTTTATAATTTGATCATTTGAATTTAATTTTAATAATAAATTTAATTTACGTCTATCTTATAAATGGATCAGAATTTTAAAATTGCAACCTAAATATAATGTATTCAAATATTGCATATTAAATTATAGTAGTGAATGTGTTGATGTGATATATAATTCTTAATTTAGTATTAATTATTAGAACTACCATAAAGCAACGATATTGTTATGCAAACTATAAGTGATAAGGTCATTGAAAGTTTTAGTTCGCTTAGTTGTTAAATCTTAAATCTCTTGATAACATGGCATGATTGCACCCATGGATGAGTTTAAAATAACACAATTTATGAATACCAATTTTGTAGATGATTTCACTTATTTAAATCCTTTATATTTATAGAGTAATTGATTATATGTATCATTCGGATTTAATTATTTTAATATGGAATAAGCGTAGTACAAGACAAATCATGAAAGTCGGGCTGAAGTTTTCATGCACATTGATGTGGTCATGTGCGTTAGCGAGGTAGGTACCATAAGATAGGGTTGTTGTTTTTTTTTTTTTTTTTGTTGAGTGAATAAGATTTTCTTTCAACTAAAATTTAGTATGTTGGGTGATAACCATTTTCTTCATTGCATAAAGTATGGATATATAATATTATTTTCTCATATTTTGTTATTGTATTGTGTATAATACTTAAAGGTGTAGATATTGATATATGTGTATTATTTCTCAAAAAAAGAAAGAAATATTAGCTAAAGATTATGATTATGTGTTTCATATTTATGCTATGGTCATATGACACGAAAGTGTAGGAACAAGTATAACATTGGTTCTAGTGTTAACTTGATTGAAGAGAAGAATTGGTAGCTGTGATGATTGACAAAAGAGCAGAGATTAACCATGCTGGTAACTCTGAAGAATAGTGGTATCTCGAAGCATACTAAGACATATGCTATTAAGAAAGTGTTGTTGAGTATTGCTCACTCCACTATTGGTCATGGTCATGAGAGTATGCATATGATGATAAAGAGAAATAACTCTTAAATATGTGATTAGAAAATCGGAATCTTTGAATTTTGATTCATTTTGAAATGGGTGAACGAGAATAATGTGAAATGCTTTATCACATTATTATTGATTGCACTAATTAACGATGTGATGCTTTTGACATGCTTTTGATGTAAAACATTATTTATGAAATGTGTTTTCATATGGTATAGTTTGAGAATCAGTGCAATATAGATGAGCATGAGAGTGATTTATTGATTGTGCTATCAAGAATAGAACACATAAGTTCAAAAAATGAAATACTCATTGTTGTGTAGAATCCATTAATGTCATTCCATTTAAATCAGAAATAGTGGGGGTATCTTGCTTGTTATTAGAAATAATGGATAACTAGTGGAGGTGATAAATATGGGTATGAACTCAGAAGAGACAAATGAACCATAAATCATTGAATGATTTTGGTTATGAATTTGTTATTTACACCCTAAGAAGAGATCCTACAAGTCTGCTAGAAGTTCGAACTTCCATACAGATGTAGATTTGTGGGTAAATCCATTATTAACGAAATGGAATTATTGGAGTCTATTTTGACATAAAATCTTGTAGAGTTACCTCTTGGATGTAAAGCCTTGGGTAATATATCGATAGATTCGAACAAGATTTGGCATCTTTGAGAATTACCTCCTGGCAATAAAGCCTAGGTAATAAATGGATTCTCAAAAGAAAACTGAAATGTAATGGTTTAGTTTATGAGTATAAGGATCGCCTAGTAGTTAAGACTTTAGGCGGGGGGAAAATGTAGATTTTCTTGATATCTATTCACCAAATCTGGAATAACATCCATGTATGGTCTGATTGCTAGTGGTGCATTAGATGGATGTTAAAATTGCATTTTGTGAATGGTGATTTAGATAAAGAAATCGAAATTGGGACAACCTAAACGGTTGTTATTATTGAACATGCTTTTAAAGTCTATGGTGAGACAAATCATGGTATGATTTGAAACAGACTTTAAAGATCATGGCATGGATGGATGGTTATCTCTCATGGTTTTGAATGAAAGTGGCAAGTGCATTTGTTACTAACTTGAGAACGACACTTGCACTATAAAAGACATGTTGATCTTTGTTGCAAAGACTCATGACATGAATAAATGTGAGTGAGAACCAAATAACTAGGACAGTGAAAGAATTTTTTTATAGATCAATCTAACTGTCTGGTTAAGATCTATAAGAAATACAAGTTGTACACTTGCCTAAATGTTTGAAGATGCTAGTACAATTTTTTAAAAGAGCACCAAAAACGGTGTAAGAAAGTAAGAACATACTAGCTTCGATAGTCTGCGAGAGGCAGCTGATAAACATGAAACCCAACATAGTGGGGCACTTGGCAGGTCTACAAATTGTCCTAGTATGAAGCATTGAAATTCTATTGAAAGGGGTCATGAGACACCTTAAGAGAACAATAGACCTTGATATAAGTTATCAGCGGTTTTTTCTGTATTGGTAGGGTATAGTGATGCGGATTAGAATACCCTATAGAGGACTCCAAGATAACAAGATGATGTGTTTTAAACATCGATAGAGAAGCTATGTCTTGGAAGTCTAAGAAGTAAACAATCCTGGCTCAATCACCTAAGAAATCAGAAATGATAGAGCTAGCATTGGCTAGTTAAGAGAAAAGTTGATTGAGAGGGTCATTACTATAGATTCCCTATGGGAAAGACCGATCCCTCCGGTAGTTGGTTCATTGTGATAGCACCGCAACTATTACTAAAGAACGGAACCAGTTCTAGAACAAAAAGAGACGACAAATTTGTCGTAAGCACAGTACTGTAAGAGAACTCCTAACGATAGGAGCAATGAGGGTGGATCATGTAAGATCCCAACAGAATCTAGTTGATCCTTTGACGAAAGGATTAACTAGAGAGAAAGTCCAAAGTGCAATGATGGGTATGAGACTTATGCCTACCGAACCATGGATTACAAGTGATGGTAACCCGACCCGATAGACTGGAGATCCCAAGAAACGGGTTCAATGGGTAATAACAAGTCATGATTAATATTGAGATAAGTTCATGCATAGTGAAGCATGAATCCCAAAGCCTTGGAGGTTGATTTAAACTCTTAATGAGATCTATACTCTATGTGGAGTGAAGTACTTTACTTTGGGGGTACTTCTGATAGACTCACCTATGTGAATGTGGGAGTGAGGCCGCTTCCTATGGAACTTTGGAGGCACAAAGTTGCTAGAGCGTTCACTAAAACGGGATAACGTGCATGGCCATAAACGCACGGCCTACGAGAGAATATCACTCAATGAAAAGATCCGGTGTGCTACATTGTCTGAGATAGAGTTCAAGACTACGAGTCACCCTTATGAAATCGGAAGTGTAACCACTATGCTAAGGTTCAAATCTTCGCGATACCTTAGCTTATGCCCGATCTTATGGAACTGTTGATGCTCAGAGATAGTTTCAAAACTATTCATGTGGGGGATTGTTGGGATGAATAGCTTTGAAAAGCTATAAATGAAATTCCTAATTAATTATCCAGTATTTTCCCATAATACTTAAATAAGATGGATAATTAATAAAAGGAATATTATGGAGATAATTAGAAATAATTATCTTAATAGATTATATTTTAATTACGGGAGTAATTATCTTCCTAATTAAAATATGACTTATTCCCAAAGAAAGAGGGAATATTCTGGGTTTTCTGCTCCTATAAATAGGAGACGCCCCAGACCCTCTAAACACACCTCAGAAGAGCAGAAACACGAGAGAGAGTGAATTCATAGAGCTCTGGTTTTCGCACAAAACCGATGAGCAATAAAATCAGAATGGTTGTTTTATCCTGGAGGCGACCGGTTGATAGTCTGTTGTGCGCATTACGAGGCAGTGCCGCGAACGTCTTAAAGAGAGCGACCTAGTCCGCGACTCAGCCAGATCGGTAACCCTAATTTTTCTGTTCGGTTTCTAACACCCACTAGCATGTTGATATGACTGGAGGAGCTACAGAAAATGATGACACTCTGGGACAGAGGCACGAAGGAAGAGATATGAGTAGTCTAAAATAGTAAGTGTGAAATTGTTGGATAATGATTATGTATTTTAAGACAATGAATATAATTAGAATCGATAACATGGTTAATGGCAACATGAAAAGACTTATGTGTGCAAAGCAAACAATAGAGGAAAAGAGGATCTATGTGTGTTCGATTTTGAGGAGAATGCTCGTGATTATTACGTTTTAGTTACCTTGACCATATATTATAGAGGAAACTTTTGAAAAAAAGGTTACATACCAACATGGGTTTTACCACTTGGACTAAAGCAAGACACAATTTGGACCCAAGATTCCTTGAAGCTTAAATAAACTTGCCACGTGACATTTATCTTGCTATTTCATTAGAAGTTCATTGATCAATATTTTGGTCTACGTTTGACGAATGCAACCACTATTAAAGTTTTCTCCCGTTCTCTCACTCTCACAAGTCAATACTAAACTTTGGTGTTTAGGAAATTGGTTGTTCGGCAATTTTATCTTGACATTATCCATTCGTTGTTCTCATTTGTTGCTAGTATGGTGTGCTTATCTTCTAAGTTCTAACAAATCATACCATGTATCAAATAGAAAGTACCAAAAACATGTAGAAGCCACTAATTTTTTTTTTTTTTTTTTTTGTGAAAAACAGAGCGCAGAGGGGCGCTCTATCCCTTAACTATTAATAAAACGAGAGGTTTGAACCCCATTAGAGTCAAAGTACAGCCAATAACTCAAAGTAGGGCTAGGGATATCAAAAACATGCACTCCGATTGGAAGGGTGTGCCCAACTGAAGCCAAATAATCCACCACAAAGTTTGCTTCCCTGAATACGTGAACAAGTGAGACTTCCTAGTCCCTCTCCAGCAGTCGGCGAATCCTGGAAGTCATTGTGAAATGAGGATGGCAAGAATCCGTCGACCGAATTAACGAGAGGGCTGCTGCTGAATCGGTCTGGAGCACCTCCCATAAAGCGGCCAAATTCGTCTCGGAGAACACCCCCTGCCGTCGAATTGCCAACTGCCAGATTCACAGAACCATCCGTATTCACACACAGCCATCCAGTCGGCGGACCTTGCCAGCTAATCAGTTGTCGTGTCTTCGCAGAACCCCCTCCCACTGCAAGCTGACCTCTGCTCAATGCTTATGCTGACTGATGCCACATTTGCTTAGCCACTCGAACCAACTGCTCCTCCCCTGCTAACTTCTCTTCGAAAACCCACTGGTTTTTATTATTCCACAATTGCCAACAGAGAATGGCAAAAAGACTCGGTTCAATGGCCTTACTCCTTCCTGAAAGATAGTGAAGAACCCACCTTGTAACATCTGCTTCAAAAAAGTCTGTATCCGGTTCGTCGACCAGCAGTGATGACCACACACTTCTAGCGTAGGAACAGTCCCTAAGGACATGAATAACTGATTCCGGTCCGCCCCCACACACCTGACACCTATCCGAGCTCGCCAGATGCCTTCTACATCGTTCGCTATTCGTCAAAAGTTTCTTGTGGAGGACCAGCCCGAAGAACTGTTTAGTGCGTTGGGGGCCCTCGATCTTCCAAACAGTCTTCCAGACAAGATGCTGCTCCCTAGCCTCCTCCTCCCTTCGGAGCTCGTGCGCAGTGTGCAAAGTAAATCGCCCCGACTCGGAGAATCTCCACATGGGAACGTCAGCTTCAATTTCCGCCGGGACCAGGTGGAGCTGCACTTGTAACGCGAGTGCCTCCGGAAGGTGAGCCCGGAAAAAGTCCATATTCCAGTCTCCATTCAAGACTACTTCAGCAACCCGCAAGTTCCTGGCAGCAACAAGAAGATTTGGGGCAAACTCCGCAAGTGGCGGTCCATCTTGTAACCACCGGTCAGTCCAAAACAATGTCTGCATGCCGCTCCTAATGTTCCACATGGTCCCTTCTGGGATATAGTGTAAGACTCGCAGAACTCCCCTCCACAAATTCGATAACCGCCCACTACGTCTTGGGTACCATACCCCATCTCGCACCCTAAGGTACTTCTCCCGGATAACCCGCGCCCATAGACTGTCTTGTTCCGTGAATAGTCGCCAGGCAATCTTAATCCACTTAAGTAATCGACTACTTTTTAATCTAAAATGATTGTGATATCTCAAACATTAACTAACATAAACAAACATCCACCTCAAGTGGATTGCTCTTAAATAATATAATAACATATAATTGATCAATTTTTTGATACTGAATGAGATTTGTCGTATAAGAAATATCTATGAAAATATATAAGACTTCTACGAAATAATATAGTATCACAAATTGGTTTGAGTATTTTTTGAGTTTTAATCATACAAACCTACACCCACCCACAAATATGTTGGATTTTGGTTTGATTTGTTCATTCCTACATGCACCGCCAGAGATAACTCGTAATTCAGCTTTTTATCGAGTGTTACAGCACAATCAATCGTGTCCTGGTTCTATTAGGTGGTATTGGTAAGCACAATCAATCGTAGCCAAAGATGGTTGGCCTGATCTGCTTCGTTTGTATGGTGTTCTTCCTAAACCCCCAAATGAAGTTCTATCTGGAATGAATATGGTCGATTCAGAAACAGGGGAAAGGCAATCACGATAAGGGAATATACACACGCAGCAACGACCAAATCCACTTCACTCAGCAAGTTCAAAATCTAAATATATAAGATTTTACACCAGTTTACCTGCACTACGACGAACCAACTCGACGGAATGAAATCGAACACAAAACCATGATGATTAAATCTATCCATTTATGTTAAAACTGGCAACGATAATGGCAATGGCACAATGATTTGATGCACTCTAACTATGTGGTTCAGTGTTTTCCCCAAAGAGGAATGGTTAACTGGAAAGAGAAAGAAAATGTAAAGAGGCCACAAGACTACCATATCATACATCAGTCAAGATCAAGGAGGATACAATCACAACATACGCTAGGATGAAGAAGATAGCTATCTGAACAAAGAACTTGGGATTCTCTCTCATGTTCGGCGATGTCACTGCCCTGGAGCATCAGAAAAGAGAAAAGAGCGGGGGAAACCAGAACATCATTATGCGCCTTGATACTGAAATCACAGTCAAGCAAGTAACAAGATGTTTACCTTGCAATGCGTTGGGAAAAACGTTGAAAGGGCAAACTCTGGATGAACACGATCCCTGGTCCCGTTAGGGTAGCTGTTACCATATTGTCTCCCTGCAATCCCAAACCCACCACTAAGATTCGTGACAGAAGCAGTTAAAAAGGATAGAGAGAGAGAGAGATACTTACGCCAAAGACAGCCCTTCTAAGGGGACCGTTGTACTTTATTTGAACACTGACAGTGGAATTAACCGCGGCAATACAGGAAACATCCACAGTTAGTACCTCTCCAACATCAAGCTTCTTCTGCACAACTAAGGACAAAAGAATCAAAGAGATGTTAGTAGCTACTTGTTATCAAGTAAACTCCAGTGTAATTTTCTTATCACGCACTAGTTGGGATGTGGAGGCATACCAGATCCACCAGCAATAATGAATGCAAGACCTTGTCCAGTTAGTTTTTGTCTCAGAAATCCCTGTTACATGCCAATAATTCATAACCACGTTGAACAACATGAATAAGATCGGCAAAAAAAGTTTGTTTCACAAAATTAAAAGCTCAAAATATCTTACCTCTGCACTACCCATCACGTTACGCGCCCTTGGATCAACCGCAACATTCACATTAACGTCATTGATGGAGCAAAGGAATGCATCTGGCTACACAACAAATGAAGAGATACATAAATTTGTAGCTGTAAGCAAAAATCAAGGAACCACATAAGAAAAATAAAGGTTATCCTGTATGCTTCAATATATAAAGGCAACCAACAAAAGTGGCTGACTGGAAAAAAGGAGAACAGCACATGTAGCAGGTAGTAGTATGTTACAGGGACTGCAAATACAGTTTCGTAGCTTTACCTGGCACAAAATTTCCCCACCGAACATAGCCAAATCAATCTACAAAAAAAAAAAAAAAAGTATAGCTCAATACTAGCTCCGGTTCCAGAATAGACACTAAAAATAATTCAAGGTAAACCTTCCTGGGAGCTCCTAAACTCAACCACACACCGGGAGAATTCTTGCCAGTGAAGGTGCAGCAATTCCAACAAATCCATCGCTTGAACCAGTATTACGAATGACTACACTGGTAATAGTCTTGCCAAAAAGCCAATGCCACATTCCTACTTCATTCTCAGGCATAAAAATGTTCACCATTTCAACGGACCCGGACATGAAACACATGGCACCTGAAAAACCTCATTTATGCAAGTATCAAGCACCAAACTAGAAGACTTCACAAACATTTCAGTAACAACCACTCCTACGAAAAACTTACAAGCTCATGCCACACAAAAAGATGTATGCTTTACCACTCAACATCTCCAAATTATCCAAAACTCTAAAGGAACAGCCAAGCCAGTAAAATCATGCATAACTTAACAACTATAACTGTCATGCAAGTTTAAGGATGAAATGCTCTGCGGACATCCATGGAATAACTGATATCTGCATTCACAAGTAAGAGTGCTCATGAATACAACAATGACAATTACTATGCTGACCTGGTCGTATAATAACAAATTCTTGCGGTTTCAACATGATCTGACAACCAAGGAATAACAGAAAGAAATTAGATGAGCAAAACTAGAGAGATAGAAAGCCAATTGCCAGAGAGCTTGAAAACTACATGCATACCTGAACCACCTGTGCTTCGCCACCCAAAATCTGGAAAGGAATCATAGCAGCTTGTTGACTCTGCAAGCACATTATCAACTATGACATTATGCAACAGTAACGATAAACTCAAAACCCAAGTCTTACACACAAACCACATACCACTGCTGCTTATGGGCATTTTCACCTCACTCTTCACTCTTCCTTCTTCCAAAAAGACTAAACCACATACGAAACCCAGAAGTTCTCGTGACTGAAAATGCCCAAAAACAGCAGAGAATTGTGTTTTCCCTCTCCGTACGTTCGTACCCCTCCCTCTTTCTGAGCCTGATACTCAACTAATGCCAGTACATTACAACAACATTTGAAAAATCAAAGCAGAAAGCCAAGTTCCTTCGACCTATGCTGATCAAATTGAGCAACCAACACTCCTCCGCCAAAGGCAGAGTGGTCAAATAGCAAACCACTAGAATCAAATTGGGCAGGAAGAATGAAAGAAAAATCTGCACAATTGTGACACTACTCAACAACTGAAACAAACGAAAAATTTACAAGAAAATTCTTCTATGGCCTGATTTCCTAAAGCTAAAAGGCAAAGTGAACTCTCACAAAGAGGCGATTGCAAGTAGAGAACAAGAGAGGTACCTGATAGACATAAGGCTGAAACGGAGTAGAGAAGAAGGGAGCAGCCATGTCGGGAGAGTGGGGATTGAAGCACGGGAAGGACGGATCAGAAAAACCTTAACGAGAATCTCTCTGATTCCCAGTGGATTGTTTCGCTCCAATTTTAAGCAGATCGACGATCCATATATTGTTTTTCATGTAAATGAATTTGGAAGAAAGAAAACAATCTCTGCGAGAAGAAGACTCCGATCACTTTATTTCCTTTTTGTTTTTACAATTTCTCTTGTGGATGGGCTGGAATACCCATAATAACCTCATCATAAGAGTCGGTTGTATAGAGGATTGGTCAAGTTGGTTGGAGGCACTTGAGTCGGACCACATCGATTTGATATGGACTAATTTGGTATAAATGAATTTCATAAATTTTGAGAAATTCAATTTGAAATGAAAACTTTTTGTGTTTGGTATTTATAGAATTCGTTTCCTATTTTAAATTTTGAATTTTATTGAATTGGAACTAGTTATAGCAATTCCTAGGAATTGAGATTGAATTTTCAAATGAATTCCACAAGTATTTACTAATTATAATAAAATGACATAATTATCCTCACTTATTGACTAAATTACTTTTACATTTATTATTTGGCGTCAACTCAACAGTATGATCGTCGACAAGAATTTGATTGCAACGCCAGTAGCAGATGTTGGTTATTTGATATTTCTGCTTCAATTGTATCAGTACGTAGAGAAGACACCATTAGAGTGTAGGGTTCATCGATGAAATATTCAAAAAGAACTAATGAATAGAATAGAAACACATAAGAACACTTTTGATATTCTACTTATGGCACCAAAAGCATTTTTAGAAGATGGATTACGATGAATATTGTTTATGCAGGAAATTAATAAGGGTGTAGTTGAAAACTTTTAGTTTAATTCAACGTATGCCAAACATGGTTTGGGAATTGAATTCATTTTATTTCTAGAGATTTTAATATAACATACCAAATATAAGAATTCTTTTGACAATGAATTCTACATGGTAATTCATTTTAAAATAAAATGAATTCTCGATTCATTTGGTACCCAAACGGTCTGTAAGAGTTCATGTAAAATTACTAAAAAGAATTTATAATATTAAATATGAATAAAAATTCTTAACACTAAAAAGTAGTCAAAATGGATTTTGTTAGACTTCTTTAGTTCTTTTATATTAAATAATATTATTTTCTAATTTATTTTATTTTTAAAATGATAGAAATGAAAGATAAATTATATTTTCCAAAATAAGATTAAAATATAGTAACGATAATCTTGTATTTTCAAAACAACTTTTGCAGAAGTTGCAAATCATAACTTCTGTTTTTATGTTATAGAAAAGTAGTTTTCAGTTTTTCAAAAGCCGAGCTTTTAAAATTGTTTGGCCTTGCTTTGCTTCAGGTTTTAAAGCCAAAAAGCACTTCTAAAATCTGAGCCAAACATAGGCATATGCAAGATAATAGGAGACGATTTGTAATAAATTTTAAATGTCATGTATCGGGTCAATTATATAATATTTATGAAAATCTAATTATAAAATAGCTCAATAAGATCATTGTTGATATTCCATAATATAAACAAGTCACGAAAACTGCAAATTAATCATGAAATATTAATTGAATTGGACACAAGGGATTAGTAAAGTTAAGGATTGAGCATACTACAGAACAATACTTTATTTTGACACGAATTATACCAATATAATCAACTTTGGTCAATGGTTTCAGAATTACTATCCCGATCTCAACTATATATCATATATACTCAATTAGCCGATACGTGATTTGACCATCAATTGAACTATTAACGGTTCAACTCACTGTCATGTTGGCACCAAACAAACAAACAAAATCATTATTTTTTTATCTAATTAATAAAATGATAAATAATAATAAAATAAATCAAACAAATTAATTTCGACCACCCGTTGCCGGCTTATCCCGTTATCATTTTTTAAATAGAGGAAACCCAAATTGAACCCAACCTTTCTTCTTCCCCCTTCTAAACCGACGACCGACATTCTCTCTAATTCCCAGTCTCATGATTTAAATGCCCAAATAATGGAGGAAAGGGGGACAGGTTACGGTGATTACTACAAATTAGTAATCACCATGGTTAATAAAGGTAAATTGAGTATCGAAAAATAAATTGCATTAATTAATTTTTTTAATAAATTACATTTTAGGTAGTTACAATAATCTATTAGTTACAATTCTCTCTCTTTCTCTCACTTCCATAATCTCCAGCCAGATCTACTTTTCTTATTTTTCTCAATCTTCCTGCAAAAGAGAAAAAACACGAAATCACTACCAATCTATTAGACAACCACCAGCACTTTGAAAAATATCAATACCATTGCAGAAACAAATCTATACCATTACACGAAAACTACCAATATAAACAATATAACATTATTTTTTTATAGGAACATGCGCTTCAGCTTTATTATTACAATAACGACGTTACAACATCACTAGGGGTGAACAAACACACCCGCATACCGACCCACCCGTCCAACCCGACCCAACCCACCCGTATTTATCGCTAAAACGAAGGTTTTGGGTTGGGTGAAGATTTTCTTTTGCACAACCCGCCTCTTTTGGGTTGGGTTTGGATTTTTTATAACACAACCCGTAGAACCCGACCCAACCCGTGTTCCAATTATTGGTATGAGTTCGTAACCAAAAAAATATTTATGTCGTATATAGTCATATTTATGAGAAAATTGAGATATTTTGTCATGTTTTTCTCTTAAGGTCTCCCTAATCTAATGCATTCTTCGGCTTAAAGTTTAGACATAAATTTAATATAGCTATGATTCACGTAATTTTTTTTCTTGTGTACAATTTTAATAGAATAATATATTTTGGATGCGTTCATTTGTAATCTTTTTAGCCTATTTCAATAAATGTCATGAAAAAAACTAGACATAAGTTGAAGTAAATCAAATTTTATTAAAATTCAAACAACATTTGTGAATTTTGATACCTTTCACCTTGGTTTATTCGTTTGAATTTTTAATTAGTTATAAAATATTTTTATGATGTAGAATAATTACATATTTTTGTGTTGGGTTGGGTTTTTACTTACAAATATCGCCAACCCGACCCAACCCAATTAGAAACAAACCGTAGGGTTTAGATTTTTTTGGGTGGGTTTGGGTTTAATATTTCTCAAACCGTAGTGCATGAGTCGGGTGATTCAAATGTCTAAACCCGGACCACCCGACCCATGTACACCCCTAATTATCACTTACAAGCTGATCCAATAGATTCAGTGCTGGTCTTTCTAACCATACATCCGCTATACCCCATCTCGCTCTGGTGTGAGCCATGATATGTGCTGCCTCATTGGCGTTCCGACTAGCATACTGCACTTGCCCTTCACTAACCTCAGACACCAGCCTGGTTGTATTTCTGAGAACCGTTCCCAGCTCTGTTTGTATCTTCTCCGGCGTTTTCAGCTTGTTCACCACTACTTGACAGTCGGTTTCCACAATGGGGGAGGCTAGCTGGTGTTGGCGTGCCAATTGTAAGCCAAATTCCACTGCTAGAGCTTCTCCCATCGTAGGGTCACGAATTCCTTTAATCCTCTTGATCGCCGCCAAAATGAATTCACCATTATGGTCTCTGGCTACCACGCCCAGCCCGACACCTTCCTCGTCCAGTCCCACATCCGTGTTAAGCTTTATTCTTCCTGTTGGAGGCCTCGTCCAGGTCTGGCAAGCAACAAGAGTCTGCTTATGGTCCTGGTGCTGTTGCTGGTTGCGATACTTCTCCAGGTAGAGAGACGCTCTTGGCACAATATCACTCTCCTCCATCTTCTTTCCATTGAACAGGTGTGCATTGCGTTCCCTCCAAAGTGACCATAAGAGGACGATCCACTCTTCAAGCTCCCTCACTTGGACGGTCTCTATAACCTTTCGAACCCAATCCATGCACTTGCAATCCCCTCGAAGCTCCAAACAATGTGCCACCATTGATGTTCGCCACAGTCTGCTCGCCCATGAGCACTCGCTAAATGCATGGGTCTGCGTTTCCAGCTGATCGCAGAAAGGGCAGGTACCACTTCGTTGCGGATTTTGTTTGTGCACCCTCTCCCCCGAAGCCAAAGCTTCACGAGTAAACTTCCACATAAACACCTTCACTTTTGGCGGTAAATTGAGTGACCAGAGCAGCTTCCAAAGATTCAGGTCCCCAACACTTCGAGGTTCACGTTGTTCCTGGAATTTACTCATCCACACCCTGTACCCACTCTTAGCCGTATACTGGCCATCGACACAATCAGTCCATATCAGCTTATCTTGTTCTTCCGCATGCCGTAATGGAATTTGTTTAATAGCTTCCACCATATCATTTGGGAAGCAACTTTCCAAAATAGTCTCATTCCACTTCTCCTCCTCATCATCAAATAGCTCTCGAACAACCGAGTCTACCGGGAGACCCATTGGCGGGGACTGAATAAAGTTATTCGGAGTTAAGGGCATCCACCGATCCCGCCATATACGAACAACAGATCCATTGCCGCTTCGCCATCGTAGTCCTTCCACTAAGAAATTCCAAGCGCTTATTAAGCTCTGCCATACATAACTTGGGCGATAGTCAATTCGTGCCTCTAGCACACTATCATTCTTGTGGTATTTCGTCTTCATTATTCGTGCTACTAGAGATTCTGGTCGTTGGTGCAGGTGCCACAGTTGCCTCGCTAGTAAGGCTTGGTTGAAACCCCTCAGGTCTCAAAACCCCATACCTCTCTTCTCTTTCATACAGATCATTGCTTCCCTCGCCACACAGGGAGTCTTCCTCTCTTTGCCTTTCTGACCCCACCAGAACCGGGTAATCAAACCATGTATTTCATCAATAATCCCATCAGGGATCTTAAAAACCGACATAGTGTACGTTAGTTGAGCTTGAGCCACTGACTTAATTAGGACTTCCCGTGCTGCAGCAGACATTGAATTCTCTTTCCATCCTACCAGCTTCTTACGAACGCGGTCCTTCAGGTATATAAAAAGTTCCTTTTTTGATCGGCCTACCTCAGTCACAAGGCCTGAGTACTTATCATGTTTGTCCAGCGCCTTCATACCCAGTGTAGAGCTAGCCACTAATCGTTGATGCGATTTCACATTGGACCCAAAAGTTACCTCCGACTTCTCCAGGCTAACCAACTGACCTGATTCTTTTTCATATCTGCAAGCACTCTCCTCAATTCGCGACTTTCCTATTTTGTTGCTCTGACAAAAAGATAGAATCGTCAGCGAAACAGGTGTGAGATCACCGGGGCACCCCTGGCCACCGAAAGTCCATGGAGATTTTTCTGACTGACGGCCTGGGACATGTAGCTAGATAATCCCTCTGCTACCAGTACAAAAAGATAGGGCGATAGGGGATCTCGCTGCCGTAATCGCCTGCTCGGAACAAACGTCTGCGATCTATGCCCGTTAACTAGAACAGAATAAGTTACTGATTTAACACATATCATAATCAGTCGAATCCATCCTTCAGTGAAACCCAACCGTTGCATTATGCCTTCCAGAAACCACCACTCCGCCCTATCGTACGCCTTAGCCATATCCGTCTTAGCCGCCAAGTACCCCGTCTTATTTTTAGTCTTCTTCTTCATAGTGTGGAAACACTCAAAAGCTGTCATTACATTGTCCGCAATAAAGCGACCTGGGACAAAAGCACTTTGTTCTGGGGAGATTATCTTGTCCAAGATTGATTTCAGACGATTCGCCAATGTCTTCGAAGGATCTTGTACATGACGTTACATAGACTTATGGGTTTGTACTCTTTCGCCATTGTCGGATCCTTCACCTTCGGAATCAATGCTAGCAGCGTGTGATTGAGATCTTGGGGCATCACTCCACTCTCCACCACCCCGAGTAACAGCTGAGTAACATCGTCTCCAATAATATACCAGTACTTCAAAAAGAACAGTACAGACAGCCCATCGGCTCCTGGTGCCTTCCTTTTGCCCATCTGTCGGAGAGCCCCAAACAATTCTTCTCTAGTCAGCGGTTGCACGAGCCCCACATTCATGTCCTCCGTCACTCGGTTGCCAACCAAATTTAAAACTGGAATCACCTCCGGTCGCTCTCTTGCAAAAAAAAAAAAAAAAGATTAGCAAAATAATTAGTGAAACATTGGAGAGCTTCCTTCGTTCCTCTCCACCAGGCCCCCGTTTTGTCTTGAATTTTTTGGATTGTGTTCATTCTTCGTCGTGATGTAGCCTTCCGATGAAAAAATTAGTGTTCTTGTCTCCTCCGCGAAGCCAATCCGCTCTCGATCTTTGCTTCCAATAAATTTCCTCGTTACACTCAAGCTCTTCAAGTTTAACCCGTAGTATACGCCTTTGGTCCACCACTTCCTCCGTCTTTTCACGCCTTTCCAACGCCATTAAAGCTCGCCTAATGTTCTCCTTCTGCCTACTGAAATTTGGAAAAGTGTTTCGACTCCATTGATCCAACCTGGACTGCACACAACCAATCTTCGAGATGGCATCCCTAGGGGCCGCATCCCAAGCTTCCTTGATTTGCTCCGCACAACCCTCGTGTTTTGCCCATAGAAACTCAAAACAGTAAGACCATCCCCACCTAATTTCCTCGTCCTCGTCCCCCATAGTATCACAAATAATGGGATGATGGTCAGATCTCAACATGTCTAGGTGAGAAACCCGTGCCTGTGATCTTGTGCTTAGCCATCCCTCATTTGTAGTAAAACGATCTAATATTTCCTCGATATATCCTCCCACTCTGCATCGATTCTCCCATGTGAATGGGTATCCTCTATATCCCAAATCCTATAACATAGAAGTCTCATTTATGACCCGAAGGGGATCGGTTCCCCGCACCCTCAGCATGTATTTGATTTCGTTGCCCCCCCCCCCCCCCCGGGTCTTTACGAGTAGGTTTACTTTGAGTACCATCACTGCTCTTTTGATCTTTTTTGTTACCTCCTGTCCCTTGTCGAGGGTTATAGCTTCCAGGGGCCGCTTTCTGTTGTGACTTCAGCAGCTTACTCGACTCTCTCTCCTTCAGTACGTTGGGCATTTTTTATTTTGTTTGGCTCTTCGCTCCTGGTTTAGGGCTTCCCACACTTGCATTAGTAGGGGTCGTCACTTCTGCATGTGGTTTGTCCACCTCTGCATGACCCTGTTCACGTACCTCCTTCCCTACCTCATGTTCCCCATCTATTTTCATGCCATCCTCCCCCATAGCAGGTACTTCGATAACCACAAACTCTTCATCTTTCCTCTCCTCGGCCGACTCCTGGAATCGGTTTCTATTGGAGTTCTTTTTCATCTTTTCTCCCCCTGGCCTCCTTTTTTTCCTTGAGGCCGATACCAGGATTTTGTCTTCATCCATTCACCGTAAGTTCGGCCGTTAGTAGGGTCATCCCCCGCCTTGTTCTCCTCTTCCGTCATCCCTTCTGTCTCCATTTCTAACCCTACAGGGGTACAGTGGCATTTACCAGCTTTCCTCCCATAGGTTCCACAGTCCGTACACATGTCATCTAACCCTCCATATTGTACCAAGTATGTCACCCCCTCAATTTTGAATTTTGATATAAGCGGCTGAGTGAGGTCAAACTCAATACATACCCTTGCATATTTTCCCCGGGCTCCAAGTTCAGTGGCGCGGTCTACCCTCACTGGTTTCCCCAACCATTCTCCAATCTTCATGATCGCTTCTTTATTAATAAATTCGATCGGGAGTTCAGGTAGTTGTGCCCATACCATCGTTGATTTTACCTCTGACTTCCACGAGTTAAAACCTTTGAACCATTGATGAACCGTAAGGTAGGTCTCTCCCAACAGCCAAAGACCGCCCATTGTCGCCCCTTCATAGTCTTTTTGGTTCCGAAACCGCACAAGGAAACAACCAATTTTCATGTCCGAGATTTGTACCTCACCATTCCTTGCCCACAAGAAGTTGAGACGTCGAGCTAGCGGGATATAGGATACTCGCCGCCCTAACCCCTTCACCACCAACGTCGATCACCACTCCCTCCACCACTTCTCTTCTCGGTTGCCGTGAACGGTATCGTTGGGCATGTGGGATCCTCATCATCAGCATATATTTCATCATCCATCTCCTTCTCCATGACCGCCACATCTTCAGAGTCCGACTCGGCTATATACCACGAGTCCTACTGCACAACTTCGTTGAAACTCTTTCCCCTCCATCCCTCCCAGGCTGGAGGTTTCGTACTCTTTTCCTTGTCCGTGTCCATCTCAGCTTCAGCCGCGTCCTCAACCTCGGTCGTCGTATCGTCCAGGTTCAGGGCTCTCGCTTTCTTCTTCGGCTGCACCGTTTCCTTCGCACTCTTCCCGTCCGGAGTCGAGGATCCCTCAGGGGGTCGCCTTATGCCACTAGTGTTGTGCGGTGGTTTTCCAGCTCCCACCGGCAACATCGGTGGTGTTCGCGTAGCCATGGTGATCGCAAACCCTAGTTCTCGTACGCAGGAAAAATATCGCCTCCGAAAAACTCGGAGCTTGGATTTCTTCCAAGTTTACTAGTAAGCAATCTAACATTATAAATCTATACCATTTCACAAAAAACCAATGCTATTGCAGATTTAACCAATACCAATATATGCAAATTAATACATTACATGATAATCAATACCAATGGGACAAAAACAATACAAATGCAACAAAATCAATACCAATGCGACAAAAACAATACCATTGAGGTGAGAGGGTCGGAGATAAAAGGATGACCAGCGCCACCGAATGCTTTGACGACCTCCGCAGTCCCGTACTCGCCCAGATCGCTTGTTCATCGGCTCCTCCTTGCCGTCGAGGAGAGAGAGAGAGAGAGAGAGAGAGAGAGAGGAGGATCGGGTAGGGTGGGGTGGGGGTGGGGAGGGGAGAGGGGACGTCGACGGGGTTGGGTGGGGTGGGATTTGGGAGGGATGGGAGAGGGGACGACAGCGGGGCGGTGGTGAGGAGGAAGCGGCGGGCGGCGCAAAGATGGGGGAGGATGGGTTGCAGTAGGGTTTGGATATATATAGAGTAATCAGGTGTGATTTCAAAATTATCTTTAATTTAATCTTTACCGTTAATTTAACATTAATGTGAAATAGAGATAATAAATGGTGTAGATTTTAGTAGCCACCATAATTACAAAAAATAAGTAACCATGCTAACCTATTCTTGGAGGAAAGAGAGAAATAGGAGAGAGGTAGAGGGAAGAGATGGTGAGGGGCGGGTAGAGAATAGAGATGATTCAATTAGATGATTAGGTTTTATTTTTTATTTTTATAACAATTTTGGTAATGAGGTGAAAGTAAAATATTGAATTTTTTGGATTTTTGTTTTTAATTTGGTGTTGACATAATAGTGAGTCAAACCATGCGTCGGGCCAATTGAGTCTATAATCTATATGATGTATAATTGAGGTCATGATGACAATTTCGGAAACCACTAACAAAATTTGATTATATGGGTATAATTCGAACTATTTAACCTTTAGATTTTAGTTTCGCATGACCGGTTTGGGTCAGACTTTGACTTGCTCTAACCGAACATGACGCATTGTCCAGGGGCTATAATGTAAAATGCAAAAGTGAACTGTGTTTAGCTTCAGTGCCCCGTCAGCATATTCCCAGGGTAAAAATGTAGTTTGTATCCACGTGTCAAAAAAATTGTTGTTTGATTCTCCGGCTGGATCGCACGTGGCAAACTGAATGACTTGGCGTATTCTTATTGGTTCCCGCATTATTCTGGACGTGTCGCTAGCGGCGCCAAAACGGTAAAAAGCACACTAGTCCGCTGAATTTAGTAAATCGGGAAAAAAGGAAGTTACTTGTTGGATCGCCGCGGCGGCGGCGTCGGAGAATCCCGGCGATCAGCAGTCAGCAGAGAGCGACAAGAGCTACTCTCCCCGCTCGCTGAAATACGGCGGACGGAAAGAACAATGAGTTGACTGCGGGTCTATCAATGCGACAACGACAGTGGTGGATTCATGGGAGAAGGGTTAATAGAGAATTGGAGTAGAGCAAACTTGAGGCGTTCTCCATAGCGATGGTAAGACCATACAGAGACTGGAGATGCAAAGTCAACTGCCTGTCCCCATTCTTTGCTGGTCAGATTCCGTAACAAATTTTTCTGGTCAGATTACCGCACGATACGGTTTCACAACCACGACCTATTAACGCATCGAAAATCTAAAAACCTGTGGTGACAGAGAAGATGCCCTGAGGTGAGCTGCAACTCTGGTAATCCAGATGAGCAGAGGATTGAAGAACAAAGAAGACGGCAGCGTTTCATGAAGGAAGAAGAACAGAAGGAGACGACCGCGTTTTATGAAGAACGAAGAGAAGTAAAAGGATCGAAACGACGGCGTTGAACTTAAATCTATTAGCCGTTGTTGATTACTGTTTATTTAAAATTCCAACCTATCTTGTAAGGACACGTATACATTTTCAGTTAATTGCAACCGTAGCTATAAAAGCTACAAGGAGCTCAGGTTACAGCTGAGCTTCCATCTCCTCAATCATTTTTCACACTTTAGTTTTCATGGTATCAGAGCAACCCAGACTCTAGGGTTTGCGGCTGCGCATCTCCATGGCGAGTGAACAAAACACACCACCAGGGAGTCAAGGACGAGGAAACAACAACAATGCCACTCCTGGAGCCAGCACAGTCAGTGGTTTTCGGTTTGGTTCTTTTGATCAGCCACAGCAACCACATTCAGAGGTTGTCACCTTTGGTAACCCTTTCTATCTGAACCCTAATGAGAATATGGCACAATCTTTGGTTGCTGAGTTGTTTGATGGAACCAACTACACGATGTGGAGCAGATCTATGCAAGTAGTTTTGAAAACGAAAAACAAGCTGGGTTTTCTAGATGGGTCAATTCCTGTGCCTGCTAGAGACTCAGATATATTTGGAATATGGGATGCCTGCAACACAGTGGTACTGTGTTGGATACAGAACTCAATGACTAAGGAGCTGCGAAGAGCAGTCCTGAATCACAGCAATTCAAAGGTTCTGTGGGAAGAACTGAAGAGGCGATTTGGACAGCCAAACGCTATGAGGATAGCAAACCTCGAAGATGAAATTCTAGCCTGTAAACAGGGGAACAAGTCTATTAATGAGTATTATACAGTAATCAAAGGCTTATGGGATGAGTATGTGGAATTCTGTCCAATAGTGCCCTGTGCTTGTGCACCTGGTTCTGTTGTTCCATGTGCTGCTGTTGCTGCTTTTGTTCAAAAACAGGAGACAGATTAATTGATTCGATTCCTGAGAGGGGTGAATCGAGAGTTTGAGGTTATCAAGACTCAATTGCTGATGCAAAAACCCTTGCCAACTGTCTCTGAAGCTGTGGATGATTTGCTGCAACATGAACAAAAACTTAAGGCAGATGCAGTATCAAGTGGTAAGAAGATTCAGTCACTGGCTTTGGCTTCAGGAAGTCAGCAGCAAGAATCAACTAAGGGTGAAAGAGACACAACTCAGGGCAAGAAGTACTGTCGTTACTGTAAGATAACCAACCACAACATTGAGGATTGCTGGTGGCTGAAGAAGAAACAAGGTGGTGCACAACAGAAAGAGGGGTATTCCAATTCCAGTTCAAGCTCTAGCTCTAGCACACCAAGGTTTGCTGGATCAGTTGCACAGGGAGCTAGTAGTATTGCTGGTGATAATTCCACTGAGGGGAACACAACTAATGAAGGTATGAGCCAATCTCCATTAACCTTTACTGCAGAGGAGATGATACGCCTCAGGAACTTGCTGCAAGTTGGTACTAATCCCTATCCAACACCACCTACCTCACCTTCCATCAACCACCAAGCCTTTACAGCCACACAGTATCCTGGACCATTCACTAATTTTGCAGGTAAACACATCACATTCTCTTCCAACTTAGATAGAGCCCTAGATACAACCCTTTGGATTATAGATACAGGTGCATCCGATCATATAGCTTGCACTCTTAACATGTTTACTGCATATACAGAAGTCCAAAATACCCATGTTTTCTTGCCAAACAAGACCAAAGTGACTGTTGTTTGTGTAGGAACAGTCACATTACCTACTGGCTTAACCCTACTTAATGTCCTTTTTGTGCCATCTTTCTCCTTTAATCTCATCTCAGTGAGCAAACTTACCCATGATGACCCACTGACCCTACACTTTCATTCTGACCATTGTGAAATCCAGGACCAATTAAGCCAGAGGAGGATTGGTTTGGCAAGAGAGTGTAGAGGCCTTTACCAATGATCCTTTCCCAGAGCCCTTCTCCATTACCTACACCATCTACCTCACATAAAGCAGCCTCAACTTTCAACTTCCAGTCCCAAGATTTGCACCTTTGGCACTGGAGATTAGGCCATCCTAGCTATGATAGATTGTCTTTACTTTCCAAAATCATTCCAGATGTAACTAAATCCAAACCAGTACACTGTGATGTATGTCCCTTATCTAAACAGCACAAATTACCTTTCCCAATTAGTACCAATACAGCACCTGAGGTGTTTCACTTGTTGCATATGGATATTTGGGGACCTCTCTCAGTTGTTTCTCATGATGGTTTTCAGTACTTTCTTACAATTGTGGATGATTTTTCTCGTTGTGTATGGATCTATCTGATGCGACATAAAAGTGAGGTTAGAGGGTTAATTGAAGGGTTCTGTAACTTGGTAAAGAACCAATTTCAAACTACTGTCAAAATGATTCGAAGTGATCAGGGCAAGGAGTTTGAAATGCATGATTATTATGCACAAGAGGGCATTGAGCATCAGGTTTCTTGTGTTGAGACTCCTGAACAAAATGGCAGAGTTGAACGAAAACATCAGCACATCCTCAATGTGGCAAGAGCTTTAAAATTTCAATCTGGATTACCTTTACAGTACTGGAGTGACTGTGTTTTACATGATGTGTACTTGATCAATCGCATCCCCACTCCTATCTTGGACAACAAATCACCAGTTGAAATACTCTACAACAAACCTACAGCCTTGTCACATCTAAGGGTGTTTGGGTGCTTATGTTATGCATCCACACTTTCTCATGGTCGCACAAAGTTTGCCCCTAGAGCACGTCAGTGTGTTTTCTTGGGGTTTGCAGCAGGTGTTAAAGGGTATAAGGTCATGGACATCCACACCAAACACATCTATATCTCACGAGATGTAGTTTTCTATGAGAAGATCCTGCCCTTCCATGGATCTGATGGCCTCACCACCCCTTCAATGCCTGCTTCTTCTTCTTCTCCATCCAATACAGTGGATTCTCCCACTGCTCCAGCTTTGCATATCCCCATGCCTCAGCCTACTATTCCTCCTCAGTTTCATCCATCCATGGATGAAGGGGGGCAGACTGAGGATTCTGAAGCCTCTCCAAGCACTCACACTGGCAGCCAACAACAACACAGTCAGTATGAGTATTATGACTCAGATGAACAAGAGTTAGCTGCACAAACTGAAGTTGATTTTGACAATCAGGATCCAACAGCAGAAAGAACTAATCTTCCTAGAAGAAAAGTCACTCTTCCAAGTAAGTTCAGTGATTATGAATTGGATCCATCTATCACTTTTGGTCCTTATGGAAAATCCAATTCATGCAGTAAGCATTCTATTTCCTTGAATGTGAATGGTTTGAGTGGTGATGACAGATCCTTTGTTTTGAGTATTATGAATCTTGAAGAACCTAAGTCTTACTATGAAGCTATTAAGTCTGATGCTTGGAATAGGGCTGTGAATTCAGAGTTGTATGCCCTAGAGGAAAACCAAACATGGGATATAGTCCCACTGCCACCAAACACCAAGGAGATAGGGAACAAATGGGTGTTTAAATACAAATTTAAACCTGATGGTACTTTGGAAAGAGAGAAGGTAAATACAAATTTAAACCTGATGGTACTTTGGAAAGAGAGAAGGCCAGGTTAGTGGCCAAAGGCTACACACAGGTCTATGGAATAGACTTCCTAGACACCTATTCCCCTGTAGCCAAGATAAACACAGTGAAAACTTTCTTGGCTGTTGCAAGCATGAGGAACTGGACAATTGAGCAGATGGATGTATCAAATGCATTTTTGCATGGAGACCTAGAGGAAGTAGTGTATATGAAGCTCCCTCTTGGCCTCAAAGTGAATTCAAATGGACAGAGAATGACTTGTAGACTGAAGAAGTCATTATATGGGTTAAAGCAAGCATCCAGGCAATGGTTTGCCAAGCTTACTAGCTTTCTGTTGAAGTTGGGATATGCACACTCAGTGTCTGATTATTCACTTTTCACAAAATGGACACATGGAAGAATCACTGTCCTACTTGTATATGTGGATGATATCTTGGTTGGGGGTGATGCACAGAAGGATATAGATCAGCTGAAAACTGCTTTGAGCAGGGAATTTAAGCTGAAGCTGCTAGGACCATTGAAGTACTTTCTTGGTCTAGAGGTAAGCAGAGATAGCAAAGGAATCAATGTATGTCAAAGAAAATACTGTGTTGACTTATTAAAGGATACAGGTCACATAGAAGCTAAGGGGTGTAAAACCCCCATTGATGCAAAGGTTAAGCTCAGTACCAAGGGAACCTTGCTGAAGGATGGAGAAGTCTATAGAAGACTGGTAGGAAGACTACATTACCTTACCATCACAAGACCAGACATAGCTTTTGCAGTACAACAGCTTTGTCAATATCAAAGGAACCCATGTGAGGAACATATGCAAGCTGCATATAGGGTGCTGAGATACTTGAAATCATCACCAGATCAGGGTATTCACTTCAGTAGCACAGCAGAAGAAAAGCTGACTGGATTCAGTGATTCGGATTGGGCCAGCTGTCCTGATACTAGAAGATCGATCACAGGGTATTGTACTTTCCTTGGATCATCACTTCTCACCTGGAAAACAAAGAAACAAACAACAGTTTCCAGGTCATCATCTGAAGCAGAGTACAGAGCTCTAGCACACTTGGTATGTGAAATTGAATGGTTGAAAAGATTGCTTTCAGAGCTAACAGTGCAGGTTCAACTTCCAATCCAGGTTTATTGTGATAACAGGTCTGCTATACATATAGCAGAGAATCCTGTTTTCCATGAGAGAACAAAACATATTGAAATTGATATTCATGTTACAAGAGACAGGATCAAGACTGGACTTATCAAGTTGAAGCATGTTGGGACAGTTGAGCAACTCGCAGATATCTTTACCAAGGGACTGGATCGATTCAGAATGAATGAGATGCTGGACAAGTTGGGGATAACCAGGGTATCACCAACTTGAAGGGGGGTGACAGAGAAGATGCCCTGAGGTGAGCTGCAACTCTGGTAATCCAGATGAGCAGAGGATTGAAGAACAAAGAAGACGGCAGCGTTTCATGAAGGAAGAAGAACAGAAGGAGACGACCGCGTTTTATGAAGAACGAAGAGAAGTAGAAGGATCGAAACGACGGCGTTGAACTTAAATCTATTAGCCGTTGTTGATTACTGTTTATTTAAAATTCCAACCTATCTTGTAAGGACACGTATACATTTTCAGTTAATTGCAACCGTAGCTATAAAAGCTACAAGGAGCTCAGGTTACAGCTGAGCTTCCATCTCCTCAATCATTTTTCACACTTTAGTTTTCATGTGGCGCATCCCGGGCTTCTGTCTATTCAAATATAAGATTAAAAATACCTGCGAAAGCTACCCGTTCAACGGGAGATGCATATGTTTTGTGATGAACATGATTTTTTTATTTTTTTTTTTGCAGCAGCTGGGCCATATGGTGGATACTACATAAGATTTTTGATATATGACAGCCATTAATTTATGGCGTTTGCTTTAAACAAACGTTTTCTATTTATTTGCACGCAGGCACGAGTGAGCAGTGGCGGATCAAGGGATTTTGTTTGCTGCAAGATGCTGCACCAAGTTGCTATTACTATAATCTTTCTGTCAATTATTTTATAAAGTCCACATCTGCTCCATCTGTTTCCTTACAAGAGCATCATAATCCTTCACTAATCTATAGCTATAGCTAAACAAACGCCACAGAAATTAATGGCGCTGCCTCCAGGAAAACCAGAGGTGATCTCCAGAGAGATGGTTAGACCATCTACTGCAACCCCAGACCGCCACAGAATTCACCACCTTTCCTTCTTCGACCAGTTGTTTCCTTCAATTTACGTCCCTCTTCTCTACTTCTACCTCAACCACGAAACCCGCAATAGCATTGCAGCTGATGTTGTCCGCGACAATAAAACCCGCGTCCTCAAACTGTCCCTCTCGGAAGCACTGTCCACGTACTACCCGCTAGCAGGGAGGATGGGAGACGACGATCCCTTGACAGTTCACTGCAACGACGAAGGGGCTCTCTTCCTGCAAGCGCGGACAAACTCGGAGCTGCATGCAGCACTGAACCATCCAGATGCAGGCGTTCGAGACGAGTTCCGAAAGCTCTTGTTCCCCGATGATCTTTGCTACAAAAGCACGAGCTGTAGTCGTCCCCTGGCTGTTCAGGTCACTAGCTTTGAGTGTGGAGGGATTGCACTAGGCATCTGCGTGTCTCATAAGTTCCTAGACATGTTCAGCTTCTGCTCCTTCATCAGCTATTGGGCTGCAATAGCTGCTGCCAGCAGTTTGGGACACAGCAACATCAAGCTGCATCCTCTGGAATTCACTCTGGCTACTCTGTATCCACCGTTTGACTTACCACCACCAGTGAACAAGACCGTCGTCAAGAAGCCTCGGAAGGATGTCAGATACGTCGTTAACCGGTTTGTCTTCGGTGCTTCCTCGATCGCGAAGCTGAAAGCTATTGTGGGGATCGGCAGAGTCGAGAATCCCACAAGGGTTGAGCTGGTTTTGGCACTGCTTTGTTCTTGTGCCATATCTGCAGCCTCCTCATCCAAAGGTCGTGGTGTTGTGTTGATCCAAGCTGTGAACTTGCGCCGTAGAATGATGTCTCCACCCCCACCTGCTCGTTCCGTGGGGAATCTGTCTTCGGTTTTTGCAATGTCGATTGCGGATGACATGGTGGAGGATCTGGCTCTGTTTGTCAGCATGTTGAGGAGGGCGAAAACCGGGTATTTCAGCTCCTGCGCCGCGGAATCTGTTGGGATCAATCGGTTCCTCGATTTCATCATGAAGACAGTGAAAGAGTACAGGGATGCGAGTAAAGAGGAGGAGGCGGCTGCTGCAAAGGTGTACCCGTGCTCCAGCTGGTGCGGATTCCCGCTATACGAAGCGGATTTCGGTTGGGGGAAACCAGTGTGGGTGACAGCTGCTGATTTTGATGAGGCGACGGATATGGTGTTGTTGGATACAAGAGACGGGCATGGGATCGAAGCGGTTGTGTCCCTGGAAGAACACGAAATGGCTGCTCTTCTGCGTGACCAGAAGCTCCTGGCCTTTGCTCGGATCAACCCAGTTGTTGATCCCGTCATCATCCGCTAACTAAGTATATGTGGTATTGGCACTACTGAAGCTTGTAGTTTGCGTAATTTCATTCTCTTTCTGTCTCTGTAAAAGAAAAAAAAAAATAATAATAATAATAAAAAATCCTGGTCATTTTATTTTGTACTTGGGTTAATATATTTGTATGGCCTCAACTTTGATAAAAATAAACATTTTGGCCAATTTTTTCGATCTATAACATTCTGGCCTAAACTATACATCAAAATAACTAAATTGACCAAACTCGATGGTCAAACATGTTGACTAACGGTCAACGCGCCACATCATCGCCCAATCAGCGCAGAACATTTAAAAAATTGATTTTTTCACCTATTATCATTTATCTCTTTTATTGTTTTTTCTTTTCTTTTTATATTTGTTTTTAACTTAATTGAAATAATGAGATTATGTGGCTTTTTTGAATTTTTCAACATTTTTTATGCTGACTAGGCGGTGATATGGCGTGTTGACCGTTTGGCCAATTTAGTTATTTTGATGTAAAATTTGGGTCAGGATGTTATAAATCGAAAAAATTGACCAGAATATTTATTTTGATCAAAATTCAGGTCATACAATTATATTAACCCTTTTAATTTTCAGAACCCAATGCGTAATTTTACCCCTATAGTGAACTGTGGGGTTAATTGCATGGTTGGTCACTGAAATTACAAAAAGCGTTCATGTTTGGTCACTATAAATATTTAAATCCACTTTTGGTCACTAACTTTACAAAAACCGTTCATTTATGGTCACTCTCCGTTAGCTGCCGTCCAACGCCGTTAACGGCGTCCGTTAAGTGATGACGTGGCTGACGGATTTGCCTAATCAGCACTTTTTAAACCCAAAATTGACTGACCCGACCCGCCACGTCATTTAAATCCGCCACGTCAGCTAAGCCTAACCAAACCTCTACCCAAACCCGACCAGACCCGCTAACTAAAACCAAACCAGACCAGCACTTATTATGCACACTGCTCGGCGAAAACAAGCTCGTCTGAAACATCCCGGATCCGGTCGTCGGTACTTCGAAGCTCCGGGATTTGATTCTCGAATACAACAATCTCACCGGCGGCGTCCCTCCATCGCTGGGTAATATTTCCTCTCTGGAAGTAATCGCGGTAAACTTCAACAACCTCGGAGGAACGATCCCCGAAACACTGGGCGGCCTCAAGAACCTGTATTTCCTCTCAATGGTTGAAAAATGGAAAAATCACCTAGTCCATTGCTTGCTGAAGAGCTACCTGTTGCATATTATCCCAAGTTCATCTTGCCAAAGGCTGAGAAATAAACAGTACTATCAATGGGTTAACGAATCATCCCAAGCAACTCCTCCTAATTAGTTAAACAAAAAAGAATCAAATTTGGGGTCTGACCTTAGCTTCGATCATTTACTGGAGAAGCACATAGAATCCAACTATGGCCCGCTTCGAAGCCATCATTCCCAATCTCGATCGATTCATCAGATAGCTCACGAAGTAATCCCCAACAGAGAATCCAACCACAGCCCACTTCGAAGCCGCCATCCTCAATCTAGATCGATCCATCAGATAGCTCACTAAGCAATTCCCAGTAGAGAGCAGAGTCAATCCGAATCTCACGGCTTCGATTATTGTTGAGGCGAGGAAGATAGATCGGCTCAGAATCAGTTCTTGACCGTCGCCGCCACCGTCCCCTACCTTTCGTTGTTATCCACCGGCGTTTCTTCGAGAAACCATAGAGCGGGTTTGGAGGAGGGCAAAGAAGGGCTGAAGGGGAAATCAAATCCCTAAAACATCTCATTTTTCCACCGCGTCTCTGCGCGGCCTCTGCTTCTTCAGAGAGCAGGGGTTTTCGCAGAAGAGAATTTAGATTTTGTTGCCACATTCTCCTGCCGACCCGCCCGACTCCACCTTCTACGACGACCCGGAGCTGCGTACTCGATCGAGAAGAAGGTGACCGGGAAGGGAGGAAGGCTGCGCGGATGGAGGCAGTCTTTGATTAGGGTTTTAGTCAAACAATTTTGGGGGTCTGGTCTGGTTTGGTTTTAGTTAGCGGGTCTGGTCGGGTTTGGGTAGATGTTTGGTTAGGTTTAGCTGACATGGTGGGTTTAAATGACGTGGCGGGTCGGGTCAGTCAATTTTGGGGTTAAAAAGTGCTGATTAGGCAAATCCGTCAGCCACGTCATCACTTAACGGACGCCGTTAATGGCGTTGGACGGCAGCTAACGGAGAGTGACCATAAATGAACGGTTTTTGTAAAGTTAGTGACCAAAAGTGGATTTAAATATTTATAGTGACCAAACATGAACGCTTTTTGTAATTTCAGTGACCAACCATGCAATTAACCCGTGAACTGTGTTTTGCTTCAGTGCATCGTCAACATTTTCGTAGGGTAAAAAAGGTATTTTGTATCCACGTTTAAAAAATGTTTCTACATGCGGCAAATTGAATGACTTGGCCCATTCTTATTGGTTGTCGCGTTGACTGTGGGTCTATCGTGAATGCGACCACGGGCGGTGGGGGATTTATGGGAGAAGGGTTAATCGAGAGTTGGATTGGACCAGAGCGACGCTAAGATAAAAGTATGGCGGCGAGAATGATCGTCAGAGAGCGGGAAGGGTCGGCGAGACGGCAGCGATTCCGAGAGGTATCGTTCCTAAAGTACGTATTGCTGCTATGCTCTTATCTTTTCTGTTTCGTTTCCTTCCGTTCCGTTTTCGTACAGATTGCGGCCGAGAAGCAATTGAAGTTGCTATTCTTGTTCTGTGGACTCGTTATCAAACTTAGCTATTCGTTTTTTTTTTTTTTTTTTTGTGGCACTTAGGCAGATAGGCTCTCTACCGTTTGCAATCAAAATCTGTGTGTCGGAAATTTTGGTTGCAGTGAGAATGTGAGATAGATGTTGAACCAAATTGCAATAAGGATGGTGCCAGTTAACCTCCATTTGTTTAAGCCTTTAAGCATACTCTTCACTAGTTGAGCGAGCTAGCTAGCTAGCTAACCCGTAGAAATGGTGCTGCTTCCAGGAACACTTGAGGTGTTCTCCATAGAGATGGTTAGACCATACAGATTGGAGACGCAAGTCATTGACTTCTTTCGACTAGGCTATCTGAGGTACGCTAGCAAAATGGAGCCTTGTTTGTTTGATCAGGCAAAAAAGAATCAGATTGGAGTTTGGTGAATTGGGAATCAAGGGATTTTGTTTGCGGCAAGATGCTCCACTAGAGCATAATCTTTCACTAATCTAGCTAGCTAAGCAAACACCATTATCTAGCTTGCTAAGTAAAACGCCATTGAAATGGTGCTGCTTCCAGGAAAACCAGAGGTGATCTCCAGAGAGATGGTTAGGCCATCTACTGCAACCCCAGACTGCCACAGAATTCACAGCCTTTCCTTCTTCGATCAGTTGGCCCCTCCAATTTACGGCCCTCTTCTCTACTTCTACCTCAACCATGAAAGCCATCGCTATAGTGTTGCTGATATTGCCGAAAATAAAATCCGTGCACTCAAAGTCTCCCTCTCGGAAGCACTATCCACGTACTACCCGCTAGCAGGAAGGATGGGAGATGATCCCTTAACAGTTCACTGTAACGACGAAGGGGTTATCTTCCTGCAAGCACGGATGAACACGGAGCTGCCTGCAATATTAAACCATCCAGATGCAGGCCTTCGAGATGAGGCTCGGAAGCTCTTGTTCCCGGATGATCTTTGCTACAAAAGCACGAGCTTGAGCAGCCCCTTGGTTGTTCAGGTCACTAGCTTTGAGTGTGGAGGTATGGCACTAGGCATCTGCGTGTCCCATAAGGTCCTAGACATGTCCAGCTTCTGTTCCTTCATCAACTATTGGGCCGCCACAGCTTCCACTTTGGGACACAACATCAAGCTGCAGCCTGATCATCGTCTGGAATTCACTTTGGCTACTCTGTACCCACCTGTTGACCTACCAGTTACAAAGACTGTTGAGCCTCCGAAGGTCAGAAACGTGGTTAACCGGTTTGTCTTTGATGCTTCCAAGATCGCGAAGCTCAAAGCCATTGTGGGGAGCAAAATCGAGAATCCCACAAGGGTAGAGTTGGCTTTAGCACTGCTTTGTTCTTGTGCTATATCAGCAGCCACGGACAATTCCTCATCCAAAGGTGGTGGTGCCTCCCAGCTGAGGTCGGCCCTTTTGATTCAAGCTGTGAACTTACGCCGTAGATTAATGTCTCCACTCCCACCTGCACGTTCCACAGGAAATCTGTCTTCAGTTTTTGCAATGTCAATTGCAGAAGGCATGGAGAAAGACCTGGTTCTGTTGGTCAGTATGATCAGGAGAGTGAAAACTGAGTATTTCAACTCCTGCGCTGTGGAATCTGTTGGGAACCAGTTTCGCTCTTTCATCATAAAGACAACGGCAGAGTTCAGGAAGTCAAGTACTGAAGAGGCTGCAAAGGTGTACCCGTGCTCCAGCTGGTGCGGATTCCCCATATATGAAGCAGATTTCGGTTGGGGAAAACCAGTGTGGGTTACAGCTGCTGATTTTGTGCTGACAGATGTAATCATCTTGTTGGATACAAGAGACGGACTTGGGATCGAAGCAGTTGTGTCTCTGGAAGAACACGAAATGGCTGCTCTTGAGCGTGACCAAAAGCTCCTAGCCTTTGCTCGGATCAACCCGGTTGTTGGTCCAGTAATGATCCGGTACGTTTTTCTTTGTGTTATTGACACTACTGAGGGGTTTTCATGAACAAATCAAACTTGGCTTAGCAACTGTTGCGATGTTGTACACATGTGCAGACCCTAAGACCAGATAACTTCACAATCGAGGTGACTAAACCATGACACTTTGCTTCAGAAGAAGATTTAGCCACAGCGGCTTGTTCTGGCCTTTCAAGTAACTGGCAAAGAAGGTCCTTGTTTGTTATGCTTCATCTTCTCTAAGTCTTTCTGGTGCAATGTCTGCTTGCACATTTGCACCTACTATCCCTTTCTTGTTGCATCTGTTTTTCCTCTCTTTTCTGCTGCACTCTGATTTTGTTTCATGGGCTTTGCCACTTCTGTAAGTATTTTCCACATTTCCATGAATAATAATAAAAAAGTATGAGCACTTCTACTATGCTATAAAGCATAGGTGCTTTAATGTACAACTTAAAGTTGTACCATAACGTAAAATGTATATGTTTGGGTTGTACCATAAAGGAATTTGTACTCTTATGTTATGGTACAACTTCACAACTTTTAGATGTATCATCACATAAATGTACAAGTTCACGTTGTACCACAAAAGAATTTGTAAAATAGTGTAGGTACAAGCTGAAGTTATACCATAACATTAAAAGTACAACTTCAAGTTGTACCATAAAGACAAAAACCTATAGCACTAATGCTATATAGCATTGTAAAATTTCTCAAAAAGTATTTAGTTGAGAATGAAGAACAGAAGGTTGCGAAGAGATCCTCACAAAATGGTTGTGAGGACCATTGCCAAATAACATGACTCATACTCCAAAGAGGAAAAAACAAAGTTTTTGAGCTTTATACTCAGGGACTAGATACTATAACAACACTCCTTTTGTTGTTATTGTAACAACACTAGTCTCTAACCAATTGGAAGTTAGGATTGTGATGACTTTTTATTAGTTGTGTAAAAATCAAAGCAGGAGTATAATTGTCATTATGAAAAATAAAAAAAAATAAAAAAATTGTTTTATTTTCTGCCCAAATTTTTGGTCGCCGGAATTCGGCCACCGATCGCCGGAATCTGGTTGCTGATCATCGGAATATGTTTTTCGTCGCCGGAATATGCTATCTTCTCATCGGAATATGCCACCGTCGCCAGAATATGTTTACCGGCGTCGAAATCTAGTCATCGGGGCCGGAATATGCCTATCAGCGTCGGAATCTGCTCACTGACGGTCATCGGAGTTCGGTCAATGAACTTCGTTGACCGGTCAATGGTCAACGACCACCGGATGCTATGGTCTTCATTGTGAGATTTATGGTTTGGTTTCTCACATTTTTGTATGCCTTTTATGATTTGCTTTATCGCGTTTGTGGTTTGCATTGAGAAGTTTCTGGTTTGCTTTATCGTGTTTGTGGTTTGCATTGAGAAGTTTCTGGTTTGCTTTCAAAAATTTTGTGTTTTTCATGAGGGGTTTGTGGTTTGTTTTAGGAGATTTGTGGTATGCATTAGGAGGTTTCTGGTTTGTTTTTGTGGTTTGCTTTAACGTGTTTGTGGTTTGCATTATGAGGTTTTTAGTGTGTTTTTGAAAATTCTGTGGTTTGCTTTGTGAGGTTTCTGGTTTGTTTTATTAGATTTTTGGTCTGCATTAGGACGTTTCTGGTTTGTTTTTATGGTTTGCTTTATCGTGTTTGTGGTTTGCGTTATGAGTTTTCTGGTGTGTTTTTGAAAATTCGATGATTTGCTTTGTGGTGTTTCTGGTTTGTTTTATAAAATTTGTGGTCTGTATTAGAAGATTTTTTTGTGCATTTTATAATTTGTTTTACCGTGTTTGTGTTTGCATTAGAAGATTTTTGACAATGCAAATAAATTGTTCATCACTTTACTTTCAAGTTAGAACTTCGCCTCAATCCCACAGCTCGCTCCCCAGTTTTCTGCTCCGCTTTCAGTCCAGGAATTCTCCGGTCCAATAAAAATCTCCACAAAAAAATTCCGCCAGCACTTGGTCCAATTAATTGTGTCCTCCGAATATAGAGCTCCCCTCACTAAAATAACGCTCCAGAATGATTATTTGGATCCGAATTTAGGGCTCCCTTTACTAAAATAACGCCACCTACCTAGTTTTCATATGAAAGAGGGATTCGCAGCTCTCGCCACGGATCTTGACGCAGAGTGCGAAGAAGGAAAGAACGAAGAAAGCCATCGGGAAGGAGATGAGACGGAGGTGGTGGAGTTGTAATTACACACCCAACGACGGTAGACTAGTAGGCCGGCGGTCGCTGTTATGAAATCTAGGGGATGGGAAGGCGGCGAGAGTTACTCATCGATTGGATAATGGCGGGGAATAAGCAAGGGCGGTGGAGGAAGAAGCATGGCGAAGGAGAAACGTCGCCGCTGCGGTGGTGATCGGGAGATAGGCCGTTGGGGATGCTCTCCTGGCGCCCAGCTGCTGCATCTATTTCGTTCTCCGGGCTGCAGCGGTGGTAGAGATCTCGATTGATGGGCGTGACGGCGACGTCATTCTCCCGGCCGGAGACGGAGGAGAAGCAAGCTAGCATAGAAAACGAGGAGAGGAGGAACGAGAACAAGAGAGAAGCCATGGAGAAGAAGGAATCCCAGATGGGAGCTGTTACTATTTTACTTCCTTTCTTTTCTTCTTCTCATCTGAAAGGAGGAAGGCGGAGAAGAGAAGGAGGAATCCCATACGAAGAAGACAGATTTTTTTTATTATTATTTTGATTTAATTTTTATTGCATTTTGTTAAATTACCTTATTGTCCTTGTTGCAACAAATAGACCGTTGTTATACTATCCGCACCCTATGAAATATTTGTAAGATGATTTTGATGCTGAAAATTTGTTGTTCGAATAACCAAATTGTGTCATGAATATGTTAGCTCGGGAAAAAATATTTCTGAAATATAGTAACAGTGACTTTACAGATTGGAGACAACAAATAACCTGGCTGTCGTTTGGCTGTCTGAGGTGAGCAAGCAAAGCTGAATTCGTTTGGACTTTTGCAAATTGGGAAGCAAGGTATTCTTATTTGCAGCAAGTTGCTATTTATCATAATTCATTTTGCTATGTACAAAGTCAACAAACTGCTCCATTTGTTTCTTCCTTGATCATAATCCTTCACTAATCCAGCCAGCTAAGGAAACGCCAGAGGAATGGTGCTGCTTCCAGGAAAACCAGAGGTGTTCTTCAGAGAGATGGTTAGACCATCTACTCCAACACCAGACAGCCACAGAATTCACAGGCTTTCCTTCTTCGACCAGTTTTCTCCACCATTTTACGTCCCTCTTCTCTACTTCTACCTCAACCATCATCATCAACCGAACCATGAAGACACTACCCTTGCTGATCTCATCGATGACAGAACCCGTGCGCTCAAACGATCCCTCTCTGAAGCACTATCCACATACTACCCTCTAGCTGGGAGAATGGGAGATGATGAAGATGGTCCATTAACCTTTCACTGTAACGATGAAGGGGTCGTCTTCCTTCAAGCGCGGATGAACTCGAAGCTGTCTACAGTTTTAAGCCATCCAGATGGGGACCAACGCGACGAGGCTCTGAATCTCTTGTTCCCGGATGGTTTTTCCGACAAATTCACCAGCTTGAGCAGTCCCTTGCTGGTTCAGGTACGTCTAGTTAAACCCCCGAATCAACTCTGACTCTGTAATTTTTTTTAACCAGTCATGCTAGTAGACATCGAATGACGAGTATAGCTCTACGATCCTCGTATTACTTTTTATGGAGTTGAATGAATTCTATTCTAATATAGTTTCAGTACGACATTGGTTCAGGTTACTAGCTTTGAGTGCGGAGGGATGGCACTGTCCATCTGTGCATCTCACAAGGTCCTCGACATGGCAAGCTTCTGTGCTTTCATCAACTACTGGGCGGCCACTGCTCCTTCCACCTCGTTACCCAGCAGCACCAAAAACCACCCGGACTTCAACTTGGCTACTCTCTTCCCACCCGTTGACCTACCACCAGCAACAACCGCCATCATTGAGCCTCCCCCAAAGGTCAAAAGCATCTGCAAGCGGTTCGTCTTTGGACCGTCCGACCTAGCCAAGCTCAAGGCTCTTGCGGAGAAGAACAACGTCAAGAATCCCACCAGGGTCGAACTAGTTCTAGCATTAATATGTTCCTGTGCCATCTCAGCATCCAAGGCCTGTCGCTCTGGGAAGTGGACCTATAAGTTGACTCAAGCTGTGAACTTGCGCACTAGATTGTCAACATTGCCAGTGGCGGGAAGTGATCTGTCATTGGGGAATCTGTCTTCTGCTTTTGCAATGAAGGTTGCAGGAGAAACTGATGAGACGGACCTCGCCGAGATGATCAGGAGGGTGAAAACCGAGCATTTCAGCTCCTGCGCTGCGGAAACAGGTGGTGGCTGCGACCAGTTTCGGTGTTTTATTGAAGAGACGAGGAAAGGGTTGAAGGCTGAGGAGGCGGAGAAGGTGTACGTTAGCTCGAGCTGGTGCAGGTTCCAGCTGTACGAAGCGGATTTCGGATGGGGAAAGCCCGTGTGGGTGATATGTGGCATTCGGGAGCCGAAGATCGTGCTGCTGGATACGAGAGAAGGAGGCGGGATTGAAGCGCTGGTGTGTTTGGAAGAAGGAGAAATGGCTGTGTTTCAGCACGACCAGAGGCTTCTGGACTTTGCTCGCGTCAACCCTATTGTTAGTGTTGAAACAATGTGACAGTCCATGATCAGATGAGTTAAACAAAGTGCAGAACACTTGACTTAAAGATCGTGATATAGAATTGCATTTAGGATTTTTGAATTTATTGGTTTCAAAAGAAGTTGTTCAGAATTATACCTGGATAAGCTTAAAAGCTGGGGTAAAGTAGTTGATGATACATGTATTCTCTGCTCTCCTGGTCAAGAAACTAGAGACCACCTCTTCTTCAATTGTCCCTATTCCTTCGGTGTGTTGAAAGGTTGCCTACAGATGATTCAAAGATATTGCCCGAGCTTTGCTGGCTATGGTGAGTATCTAAGCTGGGCTATTCAGCAGTTCAAAGGGAAGCAAGTCTCTGCTCTAGTGGGTCGTTTGGTCTGGAATGTGGCTGTAAGTATGATCTGGAGAGAAAGGTGTTCTAGAGTCCATGGAGGTGTAAGAGTATGGTATAAGATCCAGTAGAATCTTCTCCCAACAACTCGAGTTATTGGGATCAACTGGTTCTTGACATGGTATCAGAGTCTAAAACCGAAAGGTCATGTGTTCGAGTCTCCACGACCCCCAATATTAACAGTTTATTAAAGCACAAGATATGGTGGCCTGTGCAAACTTCAAGCCCATGAGTTGGCTTTCGTTTGAGGGGGCGTATAAGAGTAAGGCTGTCTTGTGCACTGAAGTGGTTCGAGCCGTTCGACGATTTATAGAATTGACTAGATTGGGATATCTGGGTTTGGATACAGCCTGTCGAAATGTATTCTTGTAATTACTTAGTGGAAGTTTGTAGTAGTTAGTAGGTTGCAGTTAGTGTTCTGTGTTCTTGCAGAACTTGTAGGCTATAGAATGTAAAGACCTAGTTTGCACTTCCTTTTCCAGGTTGTTGCAGGAGAGCATAATAATTTTTTTTATATTGCCCATAAAAAAAGTTGTTTTTGTAGTGAACAAAACAATAATTGTATTGTCTTTTTTCCAGAAGAATACAGTCAGTTGAGGTGAGTGTATGGACTTGTAACTAATGATATAACTATCATGCGATTTGTTCCTATTCTCATACAATGAATTAGTTTGTCAAGCGATGCCAGTTATCCCTTGATACATGGAAATGGACTTATTGTGGAATTGAACCATTAACAAAAAAATTGATCTCTGAAGCATATCTCAAAGTCAAAGGTGATTTTGAAGCGAACGTGTTTCTCCGATATTTTTTATACTAAGGAAGTAATGGCTTTACGAGTGAAGCATACGAAAATAAGAGATTTGATCTGACTGAATTTTCAGAACACATACTTGTAACCTTGTCTTCAATCTCCAATTCGTGAACTTACATCAACCTAATCATCGATCAAAAGAATTTTGTATACTTTTTATGTAATTTGTACACTTTGTATCATAAGTTTGTGTGTTTTTATGATATGATTTATATACTTTGTTAATTTTTTATTATTAGTTTGTATATCATATATTATTGATTTATACATCATATTTTGGTTTGTATACCATCAATAATTAGTTTTGACACTTACATTATCTAATTTGTATAGTTTATGTGACTGATTTGTATATTTTTATGATCTCCATCGCCATCGAATCCCTTTTTCTTTGACAGCTCTCTGAGCCTTGTTCTCTTTCAATTTTCAACCTATCCGTCAAGTCTTTCATTGACCTTGAAACTTAGAAAGAAGATATCTATTATCACTACTCGTCGTACGTGTCCACCGGAGACAAACGGAAGAAGCAGACCGGAACCGGTGGGGAAAGTGTCTACTGTTTTCAATCATTGGTTAATTGGCTTTGAGGGTCTTATGCTTTTGACATTATGGCCTCCACCAAAATGCATCCAAGTTAGACTCGCAAATTTTAGAATCATTGCGTGAGCTGACAGCCAGGTGGCAGCTTGTGCATTGCAAATTTGCAATGGTGGGAATGGATGGAGTGAGGCTGTGGGGGGTGAAGTGAAGTGTTTTACCGTGAAAGATAATTTTAGAATCATTGCTACATGCAATTTGATTTGGTTCAGTCCAAATGTTATTCGGTTCATTTTTTCTTTAATATTTATAAAATTTACCCATTAGATAAAAAAGCAAATCTTAATATATTCGATTCAGTATGGACAGGACTAAGCATTGATTTGGTGTGTTGTGGTCTGGTACGGACCAAACCACTGCACGCTCCTAGTTGTGGTTAACGGGTTATGTTTGTGGGTCGTCGGGTCATGATCCATGGCTAATTGACCGGTTCGATTATTGTAGATGTCCGAGATAAAAATGAGCAAAATTTGGGTCTACAAAAAAATTATAATATTCAAGGAAAATGAATAGCCAAAGCATTAAACTGATACTATAGTTGTAATACTTGTTTAGATGAATTCTCTCGGATAGTTAAAACTTAGAGGTCGTTTGCTTTTAGGATTTTAATCATGGATTTTGGATCAATATCTCATCCTCATGGGATTATGCACAAAGTCCATGTTTGGTGTTAAAGTGGTGTTTGATTATGGTGTGTAGGCCCCATGTATATGAAATTATTTTGAGGTCAAAATCCGTGGGGTCCACGGATTATAAAATCTCATCTATTTAGTTGGAATTTTGTGGGAGGCTAAAATCCATAATGGTAAATGACGGGTCTATCTCCATCTCTTTTCAATATTTCCTATATTGAACATTAAGGACACAAATAATTAAGGATATATATTCAACCCATAATTGATAAATCCCATGGACACAAATCCAATATGAAATCCAACAAGCAAACATGTATTTTTTTAAAATCCAACACAAATCCAAAATAACAAAATCCCGCATAATTCTTCATCCATAAAATCCAAGATTTTACCTAAATCCTTCATTTTCTAAAATCCTACACGACCTCTTAAAATACCAAAAAATTGCCAAATTCATTACTTTCTATGTTGGCTTGGAGAAAGAACCATTCATGACATTGGTTGAATTTTTCTTATGGAATCAATTTGGATTCAAATATATACCCGCAATAATAGATATCTTAGTTCTCAACTCATACTCATTTAAATGTGAAAGCAATATCTATAAAAAAAATTCTGGACCCATAGATGGGTAAGTGTCATCCTTACCTTAGCGATATCCAAAGACAATATTCTGTAACCTTCTGATGAGAATGATTTGAATGCATAATTTTACTTTAAATATCCTTTAACCCTCTTCCCAACTTTCATATTCCTTCTGCAATCACTCCTGACTGTAACCAAACGATCCCATCAAACCTCGCTCAATACCATGCTACCTTTCACTTACCACGTCTTCCTCAGCTTCAGAGGCAAAGACACCCGCAAGAACTTCACTGACCACCTCCACAGAGCCCTGAAGCAGGAAGGCTTCCACACCTTCAAAGACGACAACGACATCAACCGTGGCAAAAACATAGGCGAAGAGACCAAACAAGCCATCCGACAGTCGAGAGTCTCCATCATCGTCTTCTCCAAGGACTACACTTCCTCGTTTTGGTGCCTCGACGAGCTGGCCATGATCATGGAAGAGCATCGTCGATCAGCTCCACACCATGTCGTTGTTCCCGTCTACTACGACGTCAATCCTGCTGATTTGGCCAAGCCAATGGGAAGCTGCTTCGCCAAAGGTTCTGCAGAAATGGAGATAGTTGGTGTGTGGAAGGAAGTACTTCTTCAGCTTTCAGAAATTGAAGGACTAGTCTTGCAAAACGGGTACGCAGTCACTTTTTGAAACTATTCTCTTATTCGATGAGAAATGAAGGAGAAAATGGAGAGTTGCGTGAGAAGATACGTACATGATGCACGTTAGTAGCTTGGCGTGAACAAGTTACCGTGTTCTAATTTTTTTTGGAACACGATATTTCGTTAACTCAGTAGAATGCATGGCAGGTACGAGGCACGGTTCATCCAAGATATAGTTGAGAAAGTGAGAAGCAGAGTTACCCGTGTGCCGCTTCATGTTCCTTCCAATCTTGTTGGCGTCGATCATCACATAAACCGCATCAGCTCATGGGTGCTGCAGAGTGATGATTGCAGATCTGCCAGTAATGGCGTCCTGGCTGTAATCTGCGGAATCAGTGGGGTCGGGAAAACGACCATTGCAAAGGCAGTTTATAACCTGAGCTTCGACAAGTTTGATGGGTAAAGCTTCTTAGCGAATGTTAAGGAAGCTTCAGAGCAACACAACGGGTTAGTCAACCTGCAAAGGCAGCTGGTTATGGATGTTTCAGGAAATGAAGGTGGTGATGTGAAAATAAATAGATTCAACAACTTACATGAAGGAGTTCAACATGTCCGGGACGCCATCTGCTTCAAAAGGGTTCTCCTAGTTCTCGACGATGTTGATGAAGTCGACCAATTGGATGCCATACTTGGAGCTAGAGACTGCTGCTGCAGAGGAAGCAAAATCATCGTGACGACTAGACACGAATCGTTGTTCAGGTTTCACGATTCCAGTATATGATTTTTCAATGTTACTACGTTACAATTTCTGTAACTTATCGATTATGATAATCATATAACTTCAGGCGAAGTGACATGACCACCAAGTTCCGAGTTGAGCCGCTGGACGAAACCAATTCGCTGGAACTATTCAGCTGGCATGCGTTCGAACAGCATCACCCATTGAGGAGCCACGTGAAGCACTCAAAATCGGTCGCGAACTACTGTCAAGGTCTGCCTTTAGCTTTGGAAGTTCTGGGCTCTTCACTCGCCAACAAGAGCATAGAGCTGTGGGAGAGTGCGCTGGAAGAAATGGAGACGATTCCTCCTAGGAAAGTTCTGAAGATTCTGAAGATCAGCTACGATTCGCTGGAGAATGATCACCATAGGAGAGTGTTCCTCGATGTGGCCTGCTTCTTTGTTGGGATGAAGAAAGATTACGTAGTGAACATACTGAATGGGTTCGAAATCAGCGCAGCATACACGATTCAGAGCTTGATGGATCGTTACCTTGTGACGGTCGATGAAGATCGTAGGGTGAGGATGCATCAGTTGGTTCGGGACATGGGGAGAGCTATTGTTTTCGACGAATCCGAGAATTCAGGAGAGCGCAGCAGGTTGTGGCGGCAGAAGGATGCCATTGAAGCTTTGAGAGAGAGCACTGTAAGTTTGGGAAGTCTGTTGTTCTTCCATTCTCTCTCTGCGGTTTTTCTAACTCTGGCTGGGAAAAAAACAGGGGACTGAAAGAGTCAGGGGACTATCCCTGAACTTGGAAGAACACGGCCATGGAAGTCCTGATGAAGATTCTTCCAGGAAATGCCTTCTCCGGTTATTCAGGTGGTGCAGAAAGGCTGATGGATCCAGAAAGTTGCCAGATGGGATGATGAAGTTTCAGAGGAAAGCGCTTGCAAAGATGAGCAGGCTGAGATTGCTGAAGCTCGGTCATGTTAAGCTCAAGGGAGAAGAATACAGGGATCTCCCCAGAAGCTTGATCTGGTTGTTCTGGAGAGGATTCCCCTTGAAATCCATGCCTCAAGCTTGGCATTTGGAGAAGCTCGTTGTGCTCGATATGCGTCACAGCTGCCTCAAGTTTGCCTGGAAAGGACTAAAGGTAAGAAAATAAATGAACTAAATCAAGGATATATATTCTCCATTGAAACGTAAGCTTATTGCTTTTTGTCTTACCAGTTTCTCCGAGAGTTGAAGATCCTGAACCTGAGTCACTCTCATGATCTCGTAAGGACTCCAGACTTTCTCAGCATACCTATCCTGGAAAAAGTAGTACTCAAGGGTTGCATCCGTCTGCTAGAGATCAACAAATCCATAGTCCATCTCAAAAAGCTTGCAGTTCTAAATCTGAAAAATTGCATGAGCCTTAGAAGACTTCCAAACAACTTTGAACTACTATCCCTCGAAAAACTCGTCTTATCTGGTTGCACAAATCTTGATCTCCCAATAAAGCCATGGAAGATGGAATCCCTCAAGTCACTTCACATGGATGGAGTTGCAGTGAATCAATCACATAAGAAGAAACTAACAACCTTCTCAGTTTCTGTCTTGCCATATTCATTGGTGAGCTTAAGCCTCAGCAACTGCAACATTATGACAACACAATTCCTAAAGACCTAAAATGCCTGCCCTGTTTGAAAACACTGAACCTCAGCAAAAATCCTATTAGGCAGCTTCCTGAGACCTTCTCAAATCTCTCAGTTCTCGAGAGCCTGGACTTATCTGGATGTAACAGCCTGATATGGCTTCCGGAGCTCCCAAGGAGTTTGGAGAAGCTGAATGTGTTCCACTGCAACTTGTTACGGAGGCTCACAAATCTTCCAAATTTCTATAACTTGTTGCTTTTGAGCATCATCTATTGCAATGAGCTCGTCGAAATCCAGGGAATATTCAAGCTGGAGCCTGCTGGAGAAGATGCTATTGAGCTTATCAACCAATCTGGGCTATACCATTTGGAATCTGCAGACAAAATTGAAGTGACACTGATTAATATGCTCACGTCAACAACAACGAAGGCATCTAGTCTCCAGGTGATCCATCGATGTCAACCATTTCATGTTGTTCTGCCTAACTTGTTTCTGTTTCCTGTACAGGAGGAAAATACTACCCATTCAGTATCTATCTAATCCAAAACACCATATCACCCAAACTCATTGGTTTGGCTGGATAGATGTCTGAGTAACTATTGTTAGCACCTAAACATTTCACATCTGTTACTTTAGTAACTAACTTTCAGATATGTCAAAAACATTGCATCAAGATTATCATTTGTGTCCGAGCTAAATTCATTCGACTCCTATAGTTTCCTGTTAGTCATGTTCTAACGACAAGCACATATGGACAGATACTGCATGAATGCGGGATATCCAATCTTTACCTTCCAGGAAGAGAGCTACCAAGCTGGTTCCATCACCAAAAGGAAGGGTCATTTCTACAATTTCAAGTGCATGTGGTTCCAGGCCACGAGCTCTGTGGACTGAACCTCTGTGTCGTATATGGCTATGATGACTCAAAACCTTCCAGAGAGATATCTGTGGACAGAGATTGGATCGAATTTGTGGCCAGAATCACAAACCAAACCAAAGGCGAGAAATGTGTTTACTATCCAATCATTCTAGGGATCCCAGAAGGCAATAATGAAATGTTATGGCTGAGTCACTGGAAATTCGACGAAGGTCTGATAGGAAGTGGGGATAAAGTTGATGTTTCAGTTCAAGCAAGACCTTTAGTAGTAAGGAGATGTGGGGTACATCTAGTGTACAGAAAGGTATCCATGACCCACGTAAAGCTCGGAAGCGAAAAAGGGGCATCTCTAGAGGACATGACTATCAGTGATTACGCAAAGGCAACAGGGAAGATCAAACCAGGTTGCAATCTTCTGAACAACTATGTGTATAATGGGTGCAGTATGTTTTACATAGAAGAAGAGGAAGGTGAACCAAAGAAGCATCTCTTCTACGAGGCTCACTTTTTCTCTTAGAATCTTCATACAGCATAAAAATGCAGTCACTAGAATATTCTTTAGTGATTCGATCGCTTACCTGTAAGATTGCTTAAGCATGGTCCCCTTCCAGGATGAGAATCAGCAAAGCTCCCAGAAAGCCAGCCATGCCTGGATGGGAAGTCAAGTACTTCAAAGCAAATTTTGTGATGAAATAATGTTATCGACAACAATCAATTAAAAACTATCCTTCAAAATAAAGCAAATTGTATCCGGAAGAGTATTTCAGTGCATCCATTCTATAATAGTGGATAATGTAAAACTCATGTGAGAAACATATATTCACATTCAGAACAAAATTACAAAAGGTGTTGTACATGACTCAGGTAAGAAGCTTACTGAAAATAGTAAGCAACCAAAAGAAAGGAGAAACCCTCAAGAGCTGCACAATATCATACTATTAGACCTTAGTTACAAAGCAAGGCGAACAAACCCCTAAAGCAGCATACCTCAAAACATAGAAGAAAAATTGACTTCTTTCTTTAAAACTATTTCCTGATCCTGTGTAAACATTCCCCTTTTGTTTCCCCCTCTTTTGAACAAACTAAGCAAACATTCATCTATTCCTACATCAGTAGTTTTTACTTTTTAATTACTTCTGTACTCTCCTTTCTCCCCTGATTTCTCCCTATCTTGTTTCTTCGTAAAAGGCTATGCTCCCAGAAACATTCTAACACCCTTCTTCACAACACTAAAAAGAGCGGACAGGAGCAGAACTGTAATAACTTTCTTCAATGCTAATGGCCTAAGATTCACCCGAATACCATGCTTCCTCATCAACCCAACAATCGTAGCACCCAGTATTAAGAGCCATGAGCAGATAGCACGCAACATAGTCTTCATGGTTTCTGTAGGTCCATCAATATTTGCTGAGTAGCTCGAAACCTCGACATAAGACCACTTCGAGCTCACATCGCCATTTTCAGCTCGATCCAACCCAAGGGTCTCATTTAGCCAACACGACAAGCACACAAACCAATTTGCAAGCCATGCAACCTCATCTGCAGATACTGGACGCTTCATCCAGTCACCCTTGTACTTGACATCAGCAAAGTTGTGATTTCCAACTTTTCTGGGGGTGAATATATCATCTCGAGTATGCTCTGCCAGTTGTTTCTTCTCCGGTGTGAAAGAAATTGATCTCATGGCATAGCAACCAAATAAACAGCTCACTTTCTCCTTCAGTGACTCTATAAGCTCCAGGTTTTGTGAAAAATTAATGCCAGAGTTGGCTTGCAATTCGGACTCTGCGCGTAATAGAAACAACTGCAGTAACAAACCACGATAACTGATGAAGTCTATTCCACAACCAACCAGCAATTGCAAACAAAAGACTGCAAAATAAAAGAAGAATGCATAAAAACCTGTAACAATTGTTGTCCTCCATCTTCTGCATCACTAAAGAGCCTCAGATCTCTGTTCCAGTTCTCATGCAAGTAAGATCCATCAGCATCACTCTCACACAGACCATCCTCCCAATCCTAGCACCACAAGGAGATGGAAGGCCAGATACAAGCATCAGAGAGTGAAGGGTGAACGCAGTCCTAGGATAATTGCACGATGTGCAAACAATTGAGACAAACTACTTCAACTAGCATTATTTACCAGAAGCCAAAAGTAAAGGAACCAATGGTTTTGATCCACAATTACTTTTAAGAATTTGCAGCGAAGTAGAGATCAGTAGCCACACTACAGTGGCAGGAACCATGGTGAGAAAAAATCAAAGTGGTTCATACCTGCAACTGATCTCTGATTAAGGGTACATATTTGTATAAACTACTGAGCATGGCTTTCCCAGATCCAGCTTGTTTGGTATGAAAGACTTTATCCACATTCTTTATCAGATTCATCAACTCTTTGTTTGATGTCAATACTGTTATAACCTGTAAACAATAAACCAATTAAACTATAGAATTCAAGAACAAACAGATTATAGCTCCCACAAAAAATGGTTCCCAGAAACAGAACAACTAAAATGCTGGAGGAAGAAAGTAACTAAAACGCACATAGAAAAAATCTAGACACAATTACGAACCTTTAACACCATCTCCGTAATCACTACAGGATCAGTGTGAAGAAACTTATGTGCGAATCCAATAAAATGCATAATCAATGAGCTGTAGTACAAGTAATTGGACAAGACATAGCCTTCCCACGAAGATTGATACCCACATTGTCTGCTTTGTCCAACTTTCTTATTCATGTCTATCCCAGAAGAACCAACATTCGTATCGAGCTCCAGAAAATCATCCATTGCAATCTTCCATGGTTCCATGTACGTAACCCATACAGAGAACACCTGAGATGCATTCTTTATCGAAGTGCCCATGGGACAGAAAAGAAAAGTTCTGAGAATGAATCGATATAGCGGTCTTTGAATGCACAAGTTCCAGGATCCAACCAACTCTGAAGACTTATATACAGAAGCAACCAATTCTCCTGATTTCATATAAAAGGAGCTTGGGGAAAACCTTCCCCCATTTGCATTTTCAACTCGTCCAACAACTTCTTGGGCCACACGGGCACTACAATTCAAGTACTTAACCAACAACTTGACTACCTCACCCAAACTAGACGATGGTGGAGTCTCACCCAGTACTGACCTCAGTGAAAATGATAATCCCACAGACTTACAAAGATTAACAGGTAGTGGTGAGAAATCATAATCAACGAGCCAATAGTGCACCAAAGTATCAACAAAAAACTCTGCTCTCACCATGGAAGAGCCACCATCTACTCCATAACCATAATGCAAAAGCGAGCTACGATAAGGCTGGTGAGTATCCATACCTTGAACAGGCACAAAGGCACGCAAATAAGCATACAAAAGCCTGGCATAAAGATCACATTCCAATTTCTGCTCATTCCCACGCTTAGAATGCGACAGCCTGGGGATCGAAGAAGCCCAGTTCTCCAATTTCGACACCGTCTTACTCTTCGTCGCCGACATCATCGCACCACTCGAGTTCTCGCTATTGGCTTTGCAAATCGGGTAGTAAGCGAACCAATACACGAAATACTCAAAAACATTGAGCTGAATTTGATACGACGACGAAGAAGAAGAAGAACCCTTACTCGATCCTCCTTCCCTCACTTTACCTTGGAAAACAGGACACAACGCGCTCAACCCCTGGCAATCCTTGTCCGCTGAGAGAACCAGCCGGGCCCACTCCGGCAGCCGCTCGGTAGGGAAAACGTACTTGACGAGGGACTGGCGATCGACGGCGGAGATCAAATGGAACAGCACTCCATCGGGGGAAAGGAGATCGAAGACCCTAGCGGCGAGATCGGCGTCGTTGGAGTGGAGGACGACGTCGATCCAGCCGCCACCACCGGAGGAGGAAGAAGGCGGAGGAGGAGAGGGGGAGGCGTCGTCGAAGCCGTAGAGCTTGCAGATGAGGGCGGGGAAGGCGAGGGAGAAGAAGTGGCGGGACTGGTCGGGGGAGTGGGAGCGGAGGAAGGCGTCGAGGGAGGAGCAGGCGGCGGAAATCTGGGAGGGAGTGGAGGCGGCGAGGATGGCAGCGGCGAGGTCCTGGGATTTGGAGAGGGAATCGACGGTGAAGGAGTAAGGGTTCATGGTAAAGTGATGGAAGGGAAAAGGGAGCAGAAATGGAGGGAGGATTGAATGCTTATAGATTGCTTTCTAGGGTTTGTGTATCAGTTCAGAGAGTGGGGTAATGGTGGAGAGGATTGTAATCGGATTTTTTGGAAGAGCAAAGAGGAGAAGAGAATGGGGATTGTTGCGTGTTTGAAATTGAAAGTGTGGCAAAATGGCGGGGGTTTTAAGGTGGGGATTTTGTGGGGTCCTAACAGTCGCTCGGTGGTCTCGCCGGAGAAAAATTAGGATCACTTGTCAAGAGATAGCTTCTTAACGAAGCCATCACCAGATATTAGGGTTGGGGGTCAGTCGGTTTCGGTATAACCGAAAATCAAATTTTTGGTTAACGGTTAACCGAACCACCTCCCAAAACCTATCGACCATCGATTGAAAGAGGATTCAAGGCTTTGGTTATCACGGTTTTCAATTAACCGAACCCTCTCTCAATATCAAAATCATCTCGTCGAGCCTCCGAACACCAACCGACTTTCGGTCATTCCGGTTTTCGATTAGTTGATAACTGACCAATTTTGATTGTAACCAATCGGTTAACCACTAACCAATAACCGATTGTCCAGACCTACCAAATATCAAACCCATTACATCCAATAAGAAACCAAGGAAGAGATTTTTTAGCCATGAACCACTCTATTGTTCTGTCTACCTCTATCATGAATCACTTTTGGTATCCTAATACCAAAGCAAACAAATACCGAAGCTCATCATAGATAACTCCTCCCTTCGCAAATCGTATCCCTTGTACTCCCCAAATTGACCTTATCAATCACCAACTTTAGCATTTCCTTCTATCCTAACACTAGCTTTTTACCCGGCCTGTTGGCCGGTGAGTTTAATTTTACCATTTACATTAATCAATTTATCTATATGTTTAAACTATTTTGGATCTTCTAAATTTTTTACAGTTGCATTCCTTGGTGAGTATGCAGTGCGTCTATAAATTAAAAATTCTCAATACTTAACACATTCACTAACAATGCTTCGATTCACTGATCATAAATCATGTCACAAAGATATATCACGTCCCATATAGAATCTTATGTCAAGATTTGTCAATAACGATACTCAATTTTTTTTTTGTCTTATACAATATATGCCATTCAATGAATGTCGAGTTTGGAGGAACTCTCAACCAATGATGTTGCTCAGATGACGACAACTTAATATGTACCAAGACTCTCAATATTACATAGATTTGGTCATCCCAATTCAAATTTTACTGTCTTAGTGTAAGATCATATTTGTCTATCAAGACACTCAATTCAATATCTTATACAATATGTACCGATTTTTAATTCCTAAAGTTTAATATAGACTCACCCTCAACTCATGGTCGTTGTTTAAATGTTGGTTTAGAATCTCGGTCCAAGATACTCACACACTGTCGAGGCTTCTAATCTTAACATGGTCCATTGTTGTATAAATTTCTAACTTATCAAATATGCATTTGCTAAAATTTATTTATCTTTGGTGCTTGTTTTGAGATAAAAAATCCACTACTTATACTAATATCTTCATTTTGTTGGTGTAATGCCACATCTATTGTCAATATCATAGCATGATCTTATACTCTAAGTAAGAAAATGCTATCTGGACCACGAATTTACCGGATTTGTGGGCATGATATTATACCCTAACCCTTGATGAGTGAACCCTAGGTCTTAGTTATCTTAATCATAGAGCTTAACCCCTATGATTGTGCATGTAATTTGTTGCATAGATTTTAACGAATCATGACCATTGATTTTTGTTTATAATTAAACTCTTTATATATATATATATATATATATATATATATATATAGTTTAATGTATTTTTAAGTGTAATTAACACCTTTGTTTGACCGAAATATGTAAACTGTTAAGAAAAATAAGGTGAAGTATGAACAAATGTAAGATAAAATAAGGTATGGAAGCATACATTATAAGAGAGAAGAAACATTGTCTTTCTTTATCGTCTTCATTTTTACAATCAGGTACTATATTATGGCTTCGTCAAGTTTCTATCAAAATGAAAAAACAACTTTTGAAGCATTTTGCTATTTAATACTTGTTTTCGTTGATAGATACAAACATTAGAAAAAGATAGCGTTTGATAACCATAACATAAAATTATATAGTTGGTTTTTCAAATTCAACTGATTATTAAATGTTGATTATCTAAACTTCCTTCATTATATTTTTTTAAATTTTGTATTACTTATTTGTGTGTTTAATTTTTTTTCGAAATATAACATATATTAAGTTCTAATAAAAAGAAAAAGAAAAATTAATTGATCAGATTAAATCAAATATATTTTTTGAAGCATTACAATATATGTCACTCTCCAAACATAAATATACTACTGCTACACATATATATTGGAAAATACAATTATTGAATAAAAAAAGAAAACATTAAAAGAAGATAGAGATAGCTACATAAATGATCATTAAAATAAAAAGAAAATATTAAAAAAAGATAGATAGCTCTACATTAATTGATCATTAACTAACTTTTTTGTTTGGAAAAAAATTGTCCACCATGGCACCTTGTAAATTCTCCAAATACTTATGTGGCAACAAACTACTTTTGAATTGCTATAATATTATGTATAGATAGATAGATGATTGTCTTTATTTTTCCCCTTTTCGCTTTTTTCTATGGTTGTTGTTGCTTTATTTTCTGGTCTATCATATCTTTTTTTTATTGCAATCATCACTAGCTCTTAAGTAGGAATTCCAATTGGGGGTACGAAATGATCGTTATGATTTATGAGAAAACAATAGGAGAGAGGCTAATTTTATATACATAGAACTTTGTATAGAATAAAGTTAAAATGTCATGAGGGTTTTGGAATCAAGATGGAATGCAACATATCAGCAACATGTAAAATCCTAAATATTAATTACAAGTTTTCACTCCCACCTTTAATATAGGGATCATTTAGACGGATCAATTGAAAACGAGACAATTTGGCCAATTGTCCCGTTTTAGAAAATGAGTAATTTAAAACGAATCAATTCGAATTGTCTGCCCCATCCCAGACAATTGTAATTGCCTCAGAATGAGTCAATTTGAAATTCCCCAGGCAAAATTGCTTCATCTAAATTATGTGTTGTCAAATGGATCGATTTGGCCAAATTGTCTCAAAATGAAACAATTAGGTCAAATTGATCTGTTAGAGTACCTCATCCAAAAGACCCCAAGGACCCAATTCAAAAAAGGTTCTTGTATTAGAATATTGTTGTATCAAAAGAAACTAAACAATATGAGAATAATTTTACTGAATTCATCCCACTCATAAAATCGAACATAATATCAAAATTAAATTGAAAACAGACACTACTTCTATTCTCATATATGAAATTGAGAAATGGGAAAGCTCTCATTTGAATCCTAAATTAACACATTATATCATATCCTATAAGCCTGGATAAGTGGTGTGAACGGAAGGATACGTGTGTTCTTTAGAAACTCCATAAAGATGAGCTATGGCACAAAAATGTGTCATCTTCACCCGAATTGGGATGATAATTAGGATGCTAATCAGCTCCTAAAACGTTGAAATTTGTGTACAAAATGTCATTATCATTACATTAATTACGCAAAGGCTGTTGAGATATTTGGTGAATTGGTGTCATTAATTTTTGTTGTCTTTGAAGTTTGAACATTAATCAGACCTCGATAGGCTGCTTGACGTAGACGGGAGGGAAGCTTACTCGCATTGGCAGGCAGGAACTCTGGGGAGATTGTTGGACTGTCTATATGGCCTAACTAAAAATGGGCCGGAGGGCACGGGTTCAAGGGTCCATTTATGATTTATTGGTTTACCGAAGCGAGTTGGGCCTGCGTTTTTAGGAACGCTGAAATTCGGCTCAGCCACGTGGGCCAGGGCTACATTACTGAAAGTTTTATCTATCGTACTCAACCCTAGGGGTGAAAGCTTGTCCCGGAAGACCCACTGACCCGTCCCGACCCGTCCCGTTCCTAAGGGTCAGGACGGGTCAGTTTGTCTACAGGGACAGATTAGGGACGGATCATTTGTTGACCCTGCAAGGGTCAGGACGGGTCGGAACAACTTAGGGACGGGGCACGTTTTGACCCTGTGACCCTTAGCAACAACAAATATCTCATACTTCATTGGACCTTTTTGTAAAGTTTAAAAAGTTTAGGTACTAATTTGTAAAAATAAAAAAAAATTGAGTACTAAAACGTAATTTTACCATAAAAATTTATGGACTTATTTGTAAAAAAAATTAAAATTTAGGTACTAAATTGTAAGAAAAAATAATTTTGAGTACCAAAACGTAATTTGCAAAATTTCAGCCCTACTCAACCCCTTTTCTTTCAGATTTCCCCCTTCCATTCAATGCATAAGGTTGCTTGTTGCATTCCGAGATATTACAAAGAGATTACTTGGTGGTTGATTATCACGTTTTGTAATATAGAATTAGGTGTTTGATCTCTAGTCGTGGTGAATTCGAAATTCAGTTTTCAGTTCCCACTTTCCAAATGGATAGGACGTCAAAAAAGCACAAATTCTCTTTTGTGATCGACATATTGAGCAAATGTCGAACTGTTATTGACCATTACGGTTGTTAGTCTTTACATCCAACCAATTGGTCAGTATTTCAAGTCTTGTACAGTTGTACACTCTCTTTGCCTCAAACTTCATCCACGTGAGCAAATGACAACTTTAGATGTTGATTCGCCCTTTTGTATTGTTAAACGTTTATTCGTTAAGATATATTAAATATTGATTGAGATTACGTTGAAACAAAATTGTTGGCTCCTCATGTGGACGTGGAGGAAACAATAGGAAAATTCACAATTTGACTAAACCATTTCTCTTTACAACTAGTTCCACTTTGGACCTGGGATAGGACACTTAAAGCTATCTAAACCAAGAATATCTCCCTTTTTCCCCTTCTCCCTTTTCTCAAGAAAAACAAATTATGCTTGTTGTTGGCCATGCAAATGTGATTATTGATTGTGCATGAAAAGCATAGAAGCAGTAATTTTTAATCATTTGAGAGAAAAGAAGGAATGAATGTAAATTAAAGAGATTTGGAATCTGTGTGATTTGTATAGATCACTTTAAGATTATCGTTTTGTTGTTGTTGATTTTTATTTTGAAAACATTAGGTAAATTAGGGATATTGCATTTATGGATAATCGATTTGTTGGGTGAAATAAGAAGGTAGGTTATAGATTTGAAAATCAAAAGACAAGTTACAGAAGTGGAATTCATATCCCCTTTGTGCACAGACTGAAGGCTTCCTAAGGCTAGATAAGAGACTGGAGTATTATTAAAATCATATTCTCCTATGTGCCTGTTTGTTGCGGAGAATATGAATATTTTAATAATAAAGTGGTTTTTAGTATACTAAATCATATGCTTGTTCTCTTGCTCACCGTTGATCTTTTCAATGTCGTGATTTTGCTGATACCTCCCTTCTATCTCCATATCCTCTCCCTCATCCTTCGTATCCCGCTCTTTAAGTGCCCTTCCTGATGACTTACCACATACCAAGTTTTATAATGTTGTCGATGCCTCAAGATGTTTGTCTGGCCTAGTTGTGCGTGGTTCGAGCGGGAATATCATTGTTGGTGATTGAGGCTCTCTATCTTGGTGTCTCTGGTTCCTTTGTTGCGTAGCTACTTGTTGTTAGAGACTCCTTGTCAGTTGTTGTTTCTCGAAGACTACCTCGTTTAATCTTGGAAGGCGATTCTGGGCTGATGGTCCATCATCTTCGTCAAGGTGTGGTGGCAATTCAGCTTGGAGGGTCCCTGCTCTGGGAATTGTCGCCAGCTAGTCTCTGCTCATTCCATTTGTATAATATTTAGTGCGGTCTTACGAGCCGCAAATTGGGTTGCCCAGCCATAGAGTGACGTCTAAAACCCTGTTGTTGTTTTGTATAAAGTTAGCTACCTTTTTCTTTTCTAGAGTGGCTTCACTAGCATATTGCTTTGGAGGATTTTGAAGTGAATATTTTTTTAATTTCTTTTCTAATTTTATATGTTGTTATATCTTGGTGCAGGTCAAGAGAATAAGAGGAGTACGTGACCCAACTCTGGGAGAAGCTTTGGTACTTGAGTTTGGCTTCCAATTGGCTCGCCATCACCAACTAGCCTCGCCCATTGTGGAAACCGATTGTCAAGTGGTTGTGAATAAGCTGGATGCGCAGGAGGAAGTTCAAACGGAGCTTGGAACGGTGCTCAGAAGCATTAAAAGGTTGGTGGCTGAGATTGGTGAAGGGCGTGTGCAGTATGAGAATAGAAATGCTAATAAGGCAGCACATATAATGGCTCATACGAGAGCGAGATGGGACATTGCCAATGTATGGTTTGATAGACCACAGTTGAATCTGTTGGATCAGCTTGTTAGTGATGATGTAACACTGATTTCGTCTTAATAAAGCTGAAGTGCAGGTTCCTATAAAAAAGCATCACGTAAGGAGAAGAAGAATGAGAAGACCAACAAAGGGGAATGAAATCCAATTGATGAATACGTATGGGGCTACCAAAAGTTTGGTAAATACTCAGCGAAGTAATGGAAATGGCCCTTCGATTGGAACGGCCTAAAAAATGAGCCAATTCAAAAATTCCACAGCAAATGGACCTATCCAAATTTCATACCAAAACGTGTTAGTTTCATCCAATTGTCTCAAAACGGGACAATTAGATCAAATTGATCGGTTACCGTTTCTCACCAAACGACCCTCGAGTGAATTTGCATATCTCATGTTGCAGGATACATTAAGGGGTCGTTTGCATGAGTCATTTTCAAAACGATTAATTAGTCTAATAAATTTAGGCATTTGTGAAATGTAGACATTAGGGAATGTAGGCATTACAAATGCATTGTGGAATGTAGACATTAGGGAATGTAGACATTAGATGAGTCATTTGTATAAGTTTACCATTTTGCCCTTACATGTAATATGTTCCCTTATTTTGTTTCCTATTCTAATAAAAACCTCCCACATAATCATTTTGCAACCAACAAAACATATTATTTGGGTGTTTTCCATTATAATACTACTTTCTAACTTTAAATAATAATTTATATGTTAACCTTTTTTTATGAAAGATAACGCCTCCATAAGTCTCGAATTTTAACTAATTACAAATGGTAGTGTTTGTGAACGAAAATGATGCATTGTTACGTAGATGACCCTCTTTGTCGCTACTGAAATTTAGGGGAAAAGAAAAAATAATTCTGAGAGGAGACAGAATAATGACATAGAAAACAAATAATAGATAGAGAAGGATAGAAGTGCGTTTACATAAAATAAGCAATGACATACTTGGAACATTTGGACTAAAAAATAAGTTATAAATGACTCATGGATAAGAGACATTTGAAAATGACTTGACAGAATCATTTGGGACATTCGTATGGACAAACTGACTCGTGCATTTTTTCTTTAACAAACGAGTCATTTGACTCAATTGAATCATTTGATACCAAATGACTCATACGAATGACTCAAACAAACAACTCCTAAAGCTAAAGTCCAACTCCATAACCTTTGAATCCCTCTTCCCTTGGGCAGAGGGCAAGGGAAAACATCGGATGCGAGCTGCAGTCACATCCAAATTTTTATTGATGGGGTCTCTCTATGTTAATTCCAATTCAGTGCACACTAGTCACCTCAAATATGTAATTATTGATCTGCTGATATTTTTCAAATGTTACATGGAGAACAATCAACGCATGCTAATATTATCAATTAATTCAATTTTCCCCACCAAAATTCGTAGACGACATCAAAGTACCTAATGCTCGAATTTCAACAAACTCTATATTCGAATCCTTCTAAGTCCAATAATATTAAGCACCTGATTTGTCCCAGCTACCTAATGCAAAACTTACTATAAGTGCGAGCGAGGATATTTGTGATCCCCGTATATCATTGCAAAGCTTATTATATCAAAGATACAATATCACCAAATTGTTTTAAAAAAGGATCTTGCAAATGATTGGACAATGAAAATCCTCTCAATCTCTCCAAATAACACAAAAACAAAAACCCCTTCATATGGGCTTTTCAGTCTCGCATTTTCACTTTCAACAGCAGTTATGTTATGTCCCCCAATTAGGGTAAACAAGCATACCCGCAAACCGACCCACTCGTCCAACCCGACCCAACCCACCCGTATTAATCGCTAAAATGAAGGTTTTGGGTTGGGTGAGGATTTTCTTTTGTACAACCCGCCTCTTTTGGGTTGGGTTTGGATTTTGGATTACACAACCCTTAGAACCCGACCCAACCCGTGTTCCAATTATTGGTATGAGTTCGTATCCAAAAAAATATTTATGTCGTATATAGCCATATTTATGAGAAAATTAAGATATTTCGCCATGTTTTTCTCTTAAGGTCCCCCTAATCTAATGCATTTTTCGGCTTAAAGTTTAGACATAAATTTAATATAGCTATGATTCACACAATTCTTTTTCTTGTGTACAAGTTTAATAGAATTTTAACATATTATGGACGCGTTCATTTGTAACCTTTTTAGCTTATTTCAACAAATGTCGTGAAAAAAACTAGACATAAGTTGAAGTAAATCAAATTTTATTAAAATTCAAACAACATTTGTGAATTTTGATACATTTCACAACGGTTTATTCTTTTGAATTTTTAATTAGTTATAAAATATTTTTATTGGATAGAATAATTAAATATTTTGTGTTGGGTTGGGTTTTTACTTAAAAATATCGCCAACCCAACCCAGCCCAATTAGAAACAAACCGTAGGGTTTAGATTTTTTTGAGTGGGTTTGGGTTTAATATTTCTCAAACCGTAGTGCATAAGTCGGGTGATTAAAATATCTAAACCAAACCACCCGACCTATGTACACCCCTACCCCCAATCCCTTGAAATCCTCATATAGGTCACCATCTTTCAGAAAGCAATAAACTCTTCTTTGCATTATTGTTCGTAGCTCAGAAAATATTTAAGTGTGTAATAGTTACTTGGTACCAAATACCAATAACTAATAATGTTCAAAATTTGGCAATCCTATGGATCGTGTGTCAGTAGTGTAGTTGAGGCCCTACCTATATTTCTTGTGCAATTCAGTTCTGGAGGGGTTGTTGAACTTGAATGTGAGTGCTTTTGGAATAAATAATGGCAACCAACTCATAGACAAAAAAAAAAATAAACAAAAAACAAAAAACAAAAAAAACAAAAAACAAATCACCTGAGAGCTCATTCAGTGGCTCTTCCTTGCTTCACACAGATCAATCTTGACATGTTTCTGGCATATTTAGAAAGCTCAGCAACTAAACGATCTTCAATAATGTTATCTCTCATCGTGGGATCGCTCTGGATTAGAATATCTAGGCCAAAGGTGCTTTTGGATTGTGTTGTCACTACCTCAATCTTATGAAGGCGATTCTCGCGGAGTCGTCCTGAATTACATCGTACTTGTAAAACCGTGGTTAAAATTCATATATGAACTTCTCCCAATAACTCGAAGTTATTAGGACTAATTGGTTTATGATATAGTATCAGAGTTGGTTTGATCGTGAGGTCGCATGGTGCTCGTCAATGACCCCCAATATTAATTGGCATCTTAAAGCACATGGTATGACGGGTCCGTGCACATTTCAAACTTTATGAATTGACTTTCGTTTGAGAGGGCGTGTATGAAACTGGTTAAGATCCACACATAAACATCACCCAACAACGTACTCGAAATATACATGAACTTCTCCCAATAACTCGAAGTTATTAGGACCAATTGGTTTATGATATAGAACCAGAACCGCCAGTTCGATTGTGAGGTCACGTGTTCAGGTGCTCGTCAATGACCCCCAATATTAACCGATATCTTAAAAAACATGGTATGACAGGACTATGTAAATTCCAAATTTTATAATTTGACTTGAGAGGACGTGAATAAAACTGGTTAACATCCACACACAACCATCCCCGACAACAAGGTACTCGAATTCTTGTGATCAGTTAGCTTATAAGAGTAACTACATCTATCTCGTCAAAGATACTCTCCTTCGATCCGATCGCATGAAAACAGATATTCGTATCACCAAATCTCTAAACCCTTGTTGTAATCACACCCTGTCCCTCTCAACTTGCCTTCAGACAATGTTTCCCGGTGAATAGTAGATCTGATCACCCGTTATATTAGAAAAAAGAAAACAACAAGTAATTAAATATACGAGCTCATGTCGATAATTAATGGACAGCTTATCACATCTGCACGTGGCCGAATACCAGAAGTCGATCCGACGATATTTCGAGGTCGGAATCATCACGATCGATGACGTGAAATCTGTGGGCGGTAAGGTACGCCGACGGTGGATACACAGTACAGAGTACAGCTATGTGCTATATCTATCTAGCTACTATAGCAGCTTAAGCATAAATGCTTCGATTTGGGTACGTAGAAATGAATTTGTACGGGTAAATTGCAAGTTTGGTCACTTGAATTACTAAAAAGTTTCACGTTTGTCACTAAAATTAGTTTATTCCATTCATGGTCACTAAAATTAGTTCAACAGTTCAAGTTTGGTCACTCTCCGTTAGTCTCGGTTAGCTTTCGTTGATGTGGCAGTCAACTTTAATAGTTGACCGTTAAATGTGTGACGTGGCAATTAAAAAATAAAATTTAATCTTTTATAATTTCCATTTCATTATCACAGTAAATTAATAAATAATTAAAATAATTTGTAATTATAATTTCCGCTATACTTCCCTCTCCAGCTCGACGTCACGGAGGATTCCAATATGCTCCAAGGCCATGTCGGATGCCTTGGCAAGGATTTGTTTGGCAATTGGGAACATAATGGTTTCCGCAGCCATCTGAGGGAAATCAAGTGAAAATGAAAACGAGAACTGGGGAGCTTGAGCAAGACCAAATGTAGAGTGAGAGAACAGGGGAAATTAAGAACAAGGGAAAACCTTTAGAGTAAGAAAGCAAAGAAAAAATTGGGGAACATCGAGTGAAGAAGGGTCAGAATAAAAGAAGAACAGGGGAGCAAGAGCAATAGCAAATCAAGTGAGCAAGAAGCCAAGAAGAGAGTGCCCTATGGGCTTCTGAGCAGTCGCACCGTCTTAGTTTGTTGTGATTCTGAGAGATCTCTTACCAATATTATAATAGAACTAGTAATAATTTCTGATCACTCAGAGGGCGGCTGCCCGATAATTATGCAGGCGGTTGACGATTCGGGCTTCGCGTTCCTGGAATGGGCCTCTTTCAGGATTTTGATCGGGTCCACCGTGTCGCCGGATTCAATGACGGCTGCGAGAGCGTTCATCATTAGCTCCTCCGATAGCGTACTCGCCCGGATTGATGCCTTTTTCTCTGTAGCCGCCCACCCCGTCCGCCACACCGATCGTGGTGGCGGCGGCGCCCTCCGTGATGTGGAAGATGAAGTGGCAGTCCTCAATCCTGCCATGGTTGTTCTTCGCCAGCTGAAACGTACTTGTGATCGAACTTAGAGGGTGATTGCTATTTATTCTTGCCGAGTTGGCTCAGAAGAAAGCTGGTTAGACTCGAGTTTCCTAAGTCGCAGATGTGGGATGGGCGGATCGGAGAAGACGTTGGCACCATGTGACGCCGAGCTGCAGAGGGAAGTAGAGTTGAAATTATAATTACAATTTTTATTATTTATTATATTTTTAATTTATTGTGATAGTGAGGTGAAAATTATAAAATATTAAATTTATTTTTTATACTTTTTTAATTGCCACGTCACACATTTAACTGTCAATTATCAAAGTTGACTGCCACATCAACGAAAGATAACATAGACTAACGGAGAGTGACCAAACTTGAACTGTTTAATTAATTTTAGTGACCATTATTAGAATAAACTAATTTTAGTGACAAACGTGAAACTTTTTAGTAATTCAAGTGACCAAACTTGCAATTTATCCGAATTTGTACGGTGGGGAAGTAGAATTTTGTGGTAGAGAAGATTCATACTTGTCCTTCGTGGATTGGCGGCCAAGGCATTCAATTGGGCCGTAAGGTCGCAACAGAAACTAAAGGGTCCCTTTAAACGACGGGGAAAAAAAGGACTTCAAATCACGTATCCCAGCACAATGCATGACACTTGTCGACCGTTCACCATCCAGCTTCTCTTAGCAAATATCTAGCTAGTAACTGATAGTGTTATTTATCATCAGTATAAACTTTGAAAAGAGTTCCAATTAAAAATAGAAAATTGATAGGGATGGCGAGGAGGGATGGCAACCATGCTCGACCCGCCGGGTACCCATCCGAAACTCGTCCAAATGGAGGTAAAAAAACCCCGTCCGTTATGGGTAATGTGCGAATTCGGATAATGCCCAAAACCCGATAATAGCAGGCGATGGGTGAGGATGGATCTCGTAGTATCCGTCCCCAAAACGACGTTGTTTTCATTCAAGTAACTTAACCCCATCTGAAATCCCTCCCAGCCAAACTTCACTTTTCACAAGCAGAACGGTGCGTTGTCATTGACACTTTGTTTTTTTCACCAACCAGCACAGTTCCCTCATCGCCCACCACCACCCAATCCCACCGCCAACAAAATAATCTTCTCTTTCTTCTCCTCAATACATCGAGCATCGACCGTCGACTTTGACCTGAAAGTTGCCAAGCTGCCAGCTATTCGCTATTCACCAAACACAGTCGTGAGAGGATGACAATCAGGAGCCAGGAGCAATGCATTCGGGGCGACGGGGAAGCTAAGTCTCTGTACGTTGCCGACAACCGTTTTTCGCAAGCTCCATCCCAAACTTCCTCTTAATAGCAGCGGACGCTGACCGTGGGGATCCGTGGGTTTCCCGAACCCGTCGACAGACGGGGACGGTAGCCAGTCTACCCTCGTTTAGCCGTTGGGGACGGGAACGGGGAAAATCGCAAAGGTTGGCGGACAGGGATCGGGAGGCTTGTACTCGCCCCCGATCCGCCCCGTTGCCATCCCTAATGGCGAGAGTGAAATTGTATCATTTGTTGAATTCTTTTAATTCGTTAGTGAACATTTGGTGGATGATACGTTGGAATGGGTGAATGTGTGCGATACGTTTCATAACATTTTCAACCGGCCACTTTTTATGTTTTTTAAGTTTATATAATCCGTTGCTAGCATGAGTCACATCGTTGACTCGATCTTCTTGCATTACATGATGAAGTTTGTGGAGAAAACCAAGACGAGCTTAGCCTACAAGTCAAACTCGATATCATTGCTTAAATTTATTTTTAAATTTAGAGAACATGTTGAACGTACGAAAAAGATAATTCGAAGGGATAATTACTAGTTCCTTAATTAGGGGCATTCAACTTCAATTTGCAAGTTGGGTAGATTATAACAACTAAACTAATTAGATTTTCCCACAGTTGGTCTGGGGCGAACCTAAACTCTCCATTTTATGTCACTGTACAAGACCATATGAAATTGCACTAAAATTTCTCCGACATTTTTCAGATAAAAAAATAATTTGACGATGACTTCTGCAACATACTTACAAACGGGTTGTCATTGTCTTGAACTTAGGAACCCTATGATACCGTCGTTAAAATGCAAATAACTTATTACTTTGTCCGCTCAATATATCGAAATTCTAATTGCAAAATATTGAACAAGTTGGTGTCCCATTGAAGAGACATTTCTAAATATCTATCCCCCACATTAGAGCCCAAAGAAGTGTGAGGTAAGGAAACCTACAACACATCCTAAAACTCAACCAATACACTAACAAAGGTGTCCTCTTTTTCCTTTCCCTTTTCTTTTTTCCCACAAACAATTAAGGGAAATGGGGAGGGAGCACTTGACAAAGTGCTTTGCTTTCTGTATCCTACCATTCAATTAGGTAAAGTATAGAAAAATAGATTCTTCTTGTTTTCTTTATATCCCAACACCACTCTAGCCATGTTAAAATATTCGATAACATCTCTCTTTGTTTCCTTTATGACATCACCATGACTCTTCAGAATTTAACTCAACCCAGTTGGTTGAACCGGCTAGATCACGACTCATCATCATGACATGGTAAAAGAAATTAGGTTGTTTGGTCGAATATGAAATTTTTACCACCATGTCATCAACACGTGGATGCCGCACGATTGGGTCATGCAATCCACAATCTCGATCATTGAATCAACACATCTTGTTTACGTATAAACGATCAAAGATTATTGAGCCATGTGCTTTGATGATGTCATATGACAGAACGACATTCACAATCAAAACACACATGCTATGCTAACTGAATTATTATAATTGTATGTTACTAGACGGTTAAGATATGTTAGACATTCGTATAAACTAAAACCACGATTCCCTTCAATATTGCATCTAACAAATAATAATCTGCGTAATTGAGTCGATTCTAATTTTCTAATCGACATGGTGACTCGATTATGAGCTCGAGATGGCCAAATCAAGCATGACAACGTTGGAGATCACATTTGTTTATCAATTTGCGAATATGCCATCCACAAATCAAGACAATTCCACAATCGTAAGCAGCTGAAGGAATGATGCACAAGATTTCAAATGAGTAGTTATATTGCCAGATATGGTTATATTCGCAATCCACCATCATAGGCAGACATAATCATTCCCTAAAAAGAAGCATAAATAGGGATTTGGAAAACTAACTTTAGCTTTTTCCCCATAAAATAATTTACCTGCGAACGCGCTTCACGATTATAAATTTACACAACGTAAGTTGTTAAAAATGAGTGCTCATCTTTTGTCGGTTTGTTTACACTAAAATAACTGATCAAATCAACAACGAGATGCATAGGTTCACTCAAAATATTCAATTAGTTTTGTCACATATTATTACAAGCATCGTTAATACTACACTGCTAATTTCGTCCGCCTACGAAACTCCACACATTGTTTACAAACTCGATAAATGTTATTCGTAAACGTTAAATTCGACAATTTTACAAATGACGATGAAGTTCTGTAGGCAAAAGAAAATCCGAAATGTAGGGTTTTTCACATATAGTTACATAGTCATATGTCACAAAGTTTTTCTTTCTTTAATTTATTTTTGGACTCACTCCACTCAATTTCAATTTTTACACAATGCTGCGATCCCAAATGTTCATCACCTGGAACCAAACGATGGCTGCAAGCTCAACTCCTCTGCTTCCCACAACGACCCCGAATCCAAACCCTCTCCATCAAACATCCGCCAGTAGCTCATCGACAAGACGCAGACCTCCTGATCGATCCCGTCCTGCAAAAGATCCGGCAAATCGACGAACGCATCGTCGCCGTCGTCTTCAACCACAGGCTCTGGCAGCTGATCCTGATCCTGATCATGAGGACTACTGATGTCATCGTGGACGCCGCCATCGATCGCTCCTAGGTCGTCCCCTGCTTCCTTGACATCCATGGCGGCCGCCAATGCGGCGGCTGCTTGGATGTCTTTCGGGGAAGCAGAGGCAGGGCGCGGGAGCAAGTGAGCGAGCTGAGGGAAATTGAGGTGGGCAGAGTCGCCCTTGATGGCCAGAGCAGCCACGTCGTGGGCTCGAGCCGCCATTTCGGCCGTGGCGAAGGTTCCCAGCCAGATTCTTGATTTCTTTCTTGGTTCTCGAATCTCGGACACCCATTTCCCCCACTGCCGCATTCTCACTCCGCGGTAAGGTGGGTGCCCTGCATCCGCGTGATCCCCTGTTTTGGCCTTCTTGCTGGTGCTGCTGCTCCCCCTGACTTCTTCTTCTTCGGCCGAATCACTGTCGCGGTCGTGATTGAGCTTATGGGACTTGATATTGTGGTCTGAAGATGGGGACGGAGAGAAATGGGAGTCATTTGAAGAAGGAGATGATGGTGAAACAGAGGAAGAAGAAGAGGTGGTAGTGGAAGAAGAAGGAGAGAAAGAAGAAGAAAGAGGGTCGATTTGAGTTTCAGAGTCAGAGCAGTCTTGATTAGGTGTTTCCATGGCGGAAGAACAGAGTAGAGACAGAAAGAGAGAGAGAGTGGTAGAAAGGGGAGGAAGGAAGGGAAGGAGAGAGGCAAGTGCTTGGAGCTGAAGGAACTGAGGTTCTTGTTACACTTCCTTTCAGCTGTGAGTAGCATGTTTATATGCATTTATTTTAAACACAAATTATGAGGAAAAGGACAGGGAGGGAGGAAAATGGAAAAGGAAAAGGAAAAGAGTTCTTCAGGGTTCCTTGAAGTCATGTTGGCAATACACTTTTCTTGTTTCTGCAAGTTCTATTTTACTTTTTCTCTACACAAAATTGACAGGTTCACAGGTGGTTTCAAAGTATTACTAGAGAAATTGCAGAACTTCAGTTCATAACTTGATTAAGCTGAAGAGCAGTCCCTCACCAAACTATACAAGTTTTTGTTACAAGATAGTGCGTGCGAGATCGACCTAAACGGTATAATTCAGTATCTTTCAGTTTGTTAAATTCATATATGCTCCAATCAGCTAGAAGTGGTAAGAAGGGCAAGTCACATACTAACATGTGTGTTCTTTCATTCCAATTTTTCAAATATTTATTTGTAAATCGTAATTGTCTTATCTAGAAGTCTATTAGATCATATTTTAACTCTTAACATAGTCACAATCAAAGTTCAAGTTTCCTATCAAATGATTTGGCTTATGCATTTAGAATGGATCAACCTATCCAACAATGCCCCAAAACAAATTATCCGACTTGATCCGCCCTGGGAAACATATATAAATATCGAAGTATCCGGTTCACCTCGTCACAATCAATGCATATGAATGAAACTAATGAGCAACATTTTTTTAACTCTTAACATAGTCACTGTGTGCAAGTTTCGTACAAAATAATTTGATTTATGTAGTCGGAATGAGTCGACATGTCCGATCCTCCACAACACAAATTATTCATCTTGATCTGCTCCATTCCCTGGAAGCATACATATAAATATCGAGATAATTGCCTCACCAGTCGCAATCAGGATAATAACACTAGTGTCATCCTAACAAAACTTGTGTCGATATTCTGAACTCTGTTTCCAGAAGGTAAGAAGAGAAACAGAGTTATCCCAAAGTACTAATGGAATCTCTTACCCACGAGGTTACAGATTTGCATTAACCATGGAGGGGAAATAAACAATGGCCTCAGAGGAAACAACTGGCAGCAAGCAAGAAAGAAATGGTCAAGAAGAGGAGAGCTGAGCTTTGATGTTAACTGCAGCTTTACAAGTTTTCTCTTCTTGGGTGCTAATTATGTCTTATTCAATAGTATTAAGTGTCATTATTATATAACAAAGGGTTAGCCTCTTATCCTTATCTTCTGTTAGTATCTCTTTTTATCTTTTTCCTCTGTGAAAGAAGAAGAAATTAACTCTTTTCTTTCTCTAATCTCACGTGCCCACTTCTGGCATCACCAATTCGCTAGCAGCCTCAAGTACAGAAAAACCTAATTGGAAGACGATTATTGTTGATAATAATGTGATTAACTAACTAAGCACGAAAGGAATAGGAGACAGAGAGATAGAGCCATCCGAGTAGGTAGACTTTAGTCCTTCGATACTTAAATAAAAAGAGAGAGGGTGGACCAGACTGTGTAGCTCCTTCCATTTTCCAGACATCTTATTGAGTGAAAATTTATACTTGCCGACTACTACTTCCAAAAGGGTTTTCATGGATCACAAGGAAATTTTACATATTTGTTCTTTGGGAAGTGGCAGAAATTTCAATTGAAGGTTGTTTTGAAGTATTTATGAAGAGCTCTAAAACCTCATCGGCTATTGTATTTTGCTAAATTTATTACATATTTCACATGTAATTTTATCTATATTTTTAAAATTGAAAGTGGATGAACGCTTCTTCACTGCATTTCGGGGAGACGGGGACACCCCACCTTGCTTGTCCCATCTTTTACCAACCTTGTTACTACACATATCGTCTTCCTGATATAACTTTAACATAGCTATATGAAACCGAGATTCTATCCATCAGATCGATCAAATATGGTTCCTTAAACTCACATTTTCGAGTAAGTTGTACCTGTCCCGTTTAGCTTTAGATTGATTTACTTGACCTGATTTTGTCTTCCACGACACAAAACCAACATGAAGTATAGATTTACGAACAGAGTGTTTCAAAACGATATTATTATATTACGGCTATTTAACAAAAAGATCAAGTGCCCATGGGAAAAGAAAACGACATGCTGCCGTACTAAAATGAAAGAGAAATGTTATGACTTGTTTTTGTTTTCCTTTCCATGGATGCTTTTAACGTAGCCAGGATAGACATATTGTGACTACGAAGTGACATAAGAAAAAGCTGGCAATGGGGTCTCTTTCTTTGAGCACCTCCAACATTTGTGTGAGGGACAACTAACTGTACCAGCTATAACTACTCCATTCAATTCCCCCTTCAAAATTTCCCCCAACTTTTTGGATCGATGGGTATTAGTACTCTCGTACAATGGCATTTTAACACATATAACCCCCATCTTATGGTGTTTAACAAAACCATAATCCAAATATGCGAGTAAGGGATCGACTTATGCTCGACCTACCCAGTTAATAAGGGGAATTTGTGGGTTGACTAGGTACTGAATTGGTATGGACAATACTAGCGAAGAAGGTAGTAGGAAAGAGTTTAGGTGGCTCCACTCGTCCCCAATACCCATATCTATCCCGGATTCAACTCCTAATTACATGTTATCTTATGCCTCTCCTTCACCATCCACCAAAATTCCCAAAAAAACACTAACTTTAATCCTCCTTGCTTTCCTTTTTAATTCCATCAATACATCATCAATACATGTATGTTATCTATTAACCCTAGTAAGAGATCGACTTATGCTCGACCAATCCAGTTAATAAGGGGAATTCCTGGGTTAACCAGGTACGGGATTGGTATGGGAATAGGTTAGCGTGGTTACTTAATTTTGAGTAACCATGGTGGCTACCAAAATCTACATCCTTTATTATCTTTCTTTTATCCTATTTTTAAATTGACGGTAAAGATCAGATTAAGGATAATTTTGAAAATAAAAAAGCAACACACCTGATTACTCTCTGTATTCTACCTAAACCCTAATGCAACTATCTTCATAGCCGCCACCTCTCCTCCCTCTGACCCACCCCACAACCCATTTGTCTACCACCACCGTCCCCTTCCCCGCCATCCCTCCTCCCTACCTCCGCAACTGACGACGATGACGAGGAACCAAGGTCATGAGCAACGAGCGTGGCGTCTCCCTCATGAAATCAACTAAGGGGTCAGTTAGGTTTCACTCACTCCCCTTGCAATCTCTCTCTCACACAGGCGGCTGGAAAATGTGCGATGAATAAAAATCCTAGATCTAATTTTTTTCGCATTGGTAGTGATTTTTTCGTAGTGGTAGCATTTTTTTGCATTGGTATTGATTATCATGTAATGGTATTAATTTGCATGTATTGGTATTGATCAAATCTGCAATGGTATTGATTTTTTTGTGAAATGGTATATATTTATATTGGTAGATTGTTTATATTGGTAGTTTTCGTGTAATGGTATAAATTTAATTCTGCAATGGTATTGATATTTTTCAAAGTGGTAGTGGTTGTCTAATGGATTGGTATTGATCAAATCTGCAATGGTATTGATTTTTTTGTGAAATGGTATATATTTATATTGGTAGATTGTTTATATTGGTAGTTTTCGTGTAATGGTATAAATTTAATTCTGCAATGGTATTGATATTTTTCAAAGTGGTAGTGGTTGTCTAATGGATTGGTAGTGATTTCGTATTTTTTTTTCCTTTTGCAGAAAGATTGTGAAAAATAAGGAAAGAGGATCTGACTGGAGATTATGGAAGTGAGAGAAAGAGAGAGAATTGTAATTAATAGATTCTTGTAACTATCTAAAATATAATTTATTAAAAAAATTAATTAATACAATTTATTTTTCATACCCAATTTACCCTTAGTAACCACGGCGATTACTACTTTTGTAGTAATCAACGTAACCTGTCCCGATTGGTATGGGCAATACCAGCGAAGAAGGTAGTAGCGAAGAAGGTACGGGATTTGGAATTAAGTGGCTCCACTCGTCCTCAATACCCATATCCATCCCGGATTCAACTCCTAATTACATGTTATCTTATGTCCTCTCCTTCACCATCCACCAAAATTCCCAAAAAAAAAAAAAATACAACTCTAACTAGGGGTGGAAATTAGGGTGGGTGTGATTACCCGCCCCACATTTTGCGGGTAACCACACTCACAAATATAGAATTATGCTACCCACAAGGCCACAACGCACTGCGGGTTGGTGCGGATTGGATGTGGATACCCACAAAAATTTTCGTTCCTTCATCTTTCGGACTCGTATATGATAAACCTATCGGTCAAGTGATGGCAAAAAATGCACATTGAGTTAAAACTAAGTAAACAAGCCCAAGACATGGAACGAGCGAGGATCCGGTATTCGGAACCTCCTAAGTAGCCAACCTCCCTCTCATCGGTTCACTTCACTCGCTTACATGTCACTTCACTCTCTTTAGGAAATGCAGATTGATAACGAGTATGGGTTGGAGGGGATCTAATCTAAATATACATAGCATCTTTATCAACGACATGACTCCTTTGCTTTTTTTTCCCGAAATTTTTAGGGATCAATGTAGTCAAAATCCCGATTTTAATCTTAAAATCTTACGATTTTACGATCTTACCTATGGGTTCCGATCTTGATTTTACTGTGAAATCTTTGAACCTTAAAATCCCATAAAATCCCGATTTAAAACTCTAAAATCCATAAAATCTACGATTTCTACGATTTTGTACGATTTCAAGGTTCATATCAATAGGATCAAAATTAGGCCGGTCAAGTTGGGTTATGCCCATGAACCGAGTCAAATTTACTTTCCCCAACCCAACATAATGAACAACACAACCCCAACCTGATAGTTAACCCTCAATTTATTTTCATTCTCTTCCTCGTATCTTTCCTCTTTCGCACGTCGGCGCCCAACTCCTTCCATCAACGATATCTTCCACCCTCCCAATTAGCTTGTAGTTTGTTCCCACCACCCTCACAATAATCCAAATCTCCATTACATTGCAAGCTTTTGTTCATCTCCCAATCCTTCAGCACCACTAACCCAACCTTTTATCAATTAAGAAGGGAATGAATCAATCAATGAGTTATCTTTTCCAGATGATGGTAATCAAGGAAATATGGTTAATGGTGAAAGTACTTCAAGTGTTCATAAGAGTAATGATATTAGTCCTTAAACAAATAAAAACGATGAGATTGAGGGTGAGGGTGAGGATGATGACGATGATGTGTAAGTGATGTTAATGTTGATCCTAACGATCTTATGTGATTTTCTACTCTTAACAATTGATTAACAATGATATCTATAATGTTTCAGGTTTCTTATTTGTGTGTTTCTATTATGTACAAGAAAAATATATGGATTAGTTGTGTTTGTTTAGCAAACAAACTTATCTTGGGAAGTAATTATACTTTATGTGGTTGATTGTTATTCAAGATATGCATTTTTTATTACTATCTAGTGTTTTAAGTATTTATTTTAATATGAACCTTAAAATCTTACGATTTTACGATTTTAATCTACGATTTCGATTCTACCTCAGTTTTCGATTTTACTTAAAATCTAGATTTTGACTGCATTGTTAGGGATAAATGAAATTCTCTCCCGAGTTGTCGAATTAGCGTCTTCTTACACAAAAACAAAATCCTACATAAAAGAAAGTTAAGAAAGTGTTAAATAAACTATAAACCATATTTATTGACTTAGTTTTGTTATCAAATAAACACATACCTCGTGGACAATGCTTATTTAATAAAAGTATCTCATACGAACACGGTGTATTGACTTTGTTTTGTTTTATAAAATAAGTACATATTCGATTTTGGAGCATACTTTAATTTGTAGCATTCTACTTTTCACATACTTTAATATTACAAAGTATTATTAATAAATAAATATACTTAGTGTTGTTATTATGGATTTTGTGGGTTAACTGTTGTGGATAGTTGTTTGTGCCTAGTAAATACTAGGCGGTTTGTGGAGCTGGGGCGAGGCGCCTGTTCTTGGATGTCGGGGAGCATTCTTGATACTCTGCAAAACAGCGGTCCAGGGCGGTTCGCCCGGGACACCCTCCGAAGCTTAAGTTAGAGAGAGAAGTGGGGAGATCAGAATTTATGTAGAGAGATGAATAGTAGTTGGCCTCACCATTAATGTACTCACCCTATATTTATAC